TTTAAGTCAGGAATTTTGTTTCAAATTTTTGTAAACGAAACTTTTAGACTTTAGACATAATACAAAATACTAATAATTTTATAATAGATTAATATCAATTTACAAGAAAAAGGTAAACATTAATCATATACTAAAGTGAAGGCAAATTGAATATTGAATGTTATTGAAATTCATGATCACTTTTCATTAATAACTTGAAAGATTAAAAAAAATTAAATATGAATTTAGTTTTAGGTTTAATTAATCGAATGATTTAAACTGGAAGAGGGAAACGATATGTTTTCTTTCTATAACGCAACTACATTATAGATTTCTTCCCTTTGTTGCAATTTTATATTAATTTAACATTAAAACATGAAAGTACACGCTGCGTGGTGTAGGTTTCATGTTTATTATTATTAACTTTAAAGCGGTATGCATTAAGATAAGAGAAAAAAAATCGAATTATCAGTCTGTGAAATCAAAATTAAATCTGCCTGACGATTGACAATCTAAGCAAATCTGTCTTATCTGTGATATGCAGGCTTCATAACCTCAGATCCCCTTTCAAAGTTCCATTTTTTTAGTTCCGCCCATTGTTCAAAAACATTCTTTTACTTGGGGACCACACGCCCCTTTTCATGAAATGACACTACTGTGTCACATTGAAGGTGACATGATAACCGCCGTATAAACACATCTGCGGATGTTTCTAAATTCAAAATTTCACCATTTTCGTGTTAAATGTTGAATTCTGCTTTAGCCGGTGCTAGGAGGCGTATACGGTAAATTGCACTTTCCAGTACCGTCCATGAGCAGGCTCAATCAAACCGAGCCTGCAACATTTTTAATTTTGTTGTGTTGGAATTTCTTTAGGGATTCTGTTTTTCTCTATTTTTTTTTTTGCATGTTTAAAGCTAAATATTACGGTTTGTTTACGACTGCATTACCAATTGTCTATTCGGTACATGGTAGATTTATAATTATTCAACTATTTCTGTATATATGATATGCAACAGGTAATGGTAAGTAGCTTAGGCTCAATTACATCAAACTATCAGTGTACTACAAAAACTTTTTTAAAAACACAATTCAACTGTGATGCATGCTGATTTTAATATTTCTTAAACCCAGGTGTAATTTTCTTCCCTTTTAAGTTTCTTGTACATACTATACTACATTATCGATTGAATCATGTTTCGGTTTTTAAGCTTTTTTTATCTTCATGTGGCTATTTATCTAATTTTAGATTCTTACCTAAGTGGACGGACTTTAAAACATTTCGAGGATCCTTGACGTTACTCAGACGTGTACATACTGAAATTAGAGACTTTATACATGTATATGCGCAGTTAAATAAACTGCTTGTTGAATAATGATATAACTTCGTCAAGATATGAAAAATAATACATATTTTGTGATGGGTTAGAAATGCACAGCCTGTCTTTTACTTAAAGGACCACACGCCTTTGAAATCACGAAGACGACGCCATATTGACATGTCGACCGGCGGGTGTCGACTTCAAGTTATGCCTAAAGCGGTGCTATGGGCGGAGACGAAAGACTGCATTATTTTTCATTATTCATTTATCATCTAATCAAGCCTGCAATACTTTCAGTTTTGCCATTTAGGCCGTTATTTAAGATTTATATTTAATTATATACAATAAATGAAATATTGAGAGATATTGATGAAATAAAATGCGTATTTTATTTTCCACATTTAAATTGTAAAACACTACTTTCTCTGCAATAAAACATATTTTCTGTATTTTCACTGGGGTCTTTTCATACTACTTTCTTCTTAATTCAGGCAATACACAAAATTAAAGAAGATTTACGAATTGTACGGTCAGAAAAGAGAAAACGTATATGATAAACAGAAAATTTAAGTCTGTTTACTATTAATACGGGATAAACTTTTTATCTTGTGATATGAAAATTCTCATGTTTCCCACCACTTGATAAAAATTAATCATGTATTTATAGAACAAATTGAATATCTTAAATTTTTTTATGCCACCGCAGCATCTGCGATGCGGTGGCATATAGCGATTCACCTGTGTGTGTGTGTGTGTGTGTGTGCGTGTGCGTGTGCGTGTGCGTGTGTGTGTGTGTGTGTGTGTGTTATAGATTATATAGTGAACTTAAAAAATCTTCTTGTGAAAAACCACCAGTCCAATTTCAACCAAACTTGGCAGGATTGAACCTTGGGTGAAGGGCTTCCAAAGTTGTTCAAAGAATTTCATTCCATGCAGAAATCTGGTTGCCATGGCAACCAAAAGGAATTAAAAGAATAAATTAAAAAAATCTTCTTGTAAAGACAAAAAAGGCCTAGAGCTTAGATATTTTGCATAAGGCATTGTCTGGTAGACCTCTACCAAGATTGTTCAAATTATAGCCCTGGGGTCAAAATCGGCCCCGCCCGGGGGTCATTGATTTTTACTATATATGTACATATAGTAAAAACTTAAAATACCTTCTTGTAAAGACCCAAAAGACCTAGAGCTTAGATATTTTGCATAAGGCATTGTCTGGTAGAGCCTTACCTAGATTGTTCAAATTATAGCCCTGGGGTCAAAATTGGCCCCGCCCCGGGGGTCATTGGTTTTCCTTATATGTATATAGTAAAAACTTTAAAAAATTTCTTCTAGTAATTGAAAAATGCTAGAGGTAAGATATTTTGCATGAGACGTTGTGTAGTGAACCTCTAGCAAGATTGTTCAAATTATAGCCCTGGGGTCAAAATTGCCCCGGCTTCGGGGGTCATTAATTTTCAATATATACATTTAGTAAAAAATCAAAAAATCTTATTGTCTGAAGGTACAAGGCTTAGAGCTTTAATATTTCTTAAATGATATCATCTATAGGTACTCTACCAAAGTTGTTCAAATTTTGCCTCTAGTGTCAAAATTAGCCCCGCCCCTGGGGGCCATAGGTTTTCCTTATATGTATATAGTAAAAACTTAAAAAATCATCTTCTTTAAATTTACAAAGGCTAGAGTTAAGATATTTTGCATGAAACATTGTGTAGTGAACCTCTAGCAAGATTGTACAAATTATAGCTCTGGGGTCAAAATTGGCCCCGCCCCTAGGGGTCATTGATTTTCACTATGAACACCATGTGCACAGATAAAGATGTAAAGTGAACTTTGATATCAGCTGACCTAGATTTTGACAAAGTGTCTTACTGTGTTGTCCTTTGATGAAGTCATGAAATTTAGGCTGTGACCTTCACCACCAAATTCACTAGACTCAAGTGCATTGATATATTCCTACTCTGATCTTTTATTTGATTAACAATAGATTTAACCACTAATCTGATGATAAGAATTAGATAGGTCAGGGATCTATGCATTATGACAATCTTCAACTGTATAGAAACAAAAAAAATATGTTCCTACACTACTATTTAGTGTTGTATTAATGCGGTGGCATAGCATTTTTCTCAAATGCAATCTTGTTTAATTTTCTTTTCAGTTTCTAAATCAGATAATTATGATGTTAGAAAACACGCCAGTTTATTATTTTTCTTGTTCTTGTAATTGATATACCAATGATTCGTCGACATCAATGATCTATTTTTATTTTTAGGTGAAATCACACTTTTCGGGTACATAGTTTCAATAAGTAAACAAACAAACTATACATATATAAAACTTTAAGTCTGTAAATTATTGAAATCGATTTAACAATCTTACATGAATACTGTACGTAAGATATATCGGAAACCCACAGTTTTATACACCTTGTCTTTTAAACGAAGAAATAAATAATTCTTAAGACTAAATGAGATTCTTGAAGAGTAAAACAAATATAAGATCGTGTAAATATTGGAAAACTATTTATTCATGGATATTTTCCTTGCCAAAAGAATTAGTTTTTTGAACCTGAAATGTTTTAAGCTTATAAATAGACATCACATCATACAAGTCATATCTTTACATATATTATATAAATAAATACTTATGCCATTCTTTAGCAAAAGCCCAATATGAAAACATGAAAACCACTCACACTTAATTTAGACTACATCTTTATATATAAATATTCAGTGTCTTTATTATTAACTTAATTATTATGATAAAAATGTCAAGTGGAAAATAGAAAGTTAAATAGAATAAAGAAGACTACCCCCACACTGCTTCAAAGGTATTTTAGCATAAATCAGGTATGCATAGTTCAACAGCAAACTAAAATATGCGATATTGAATGGATATATGTAAAGAAAACCATCATCCGAGAGGCCACATCGTCACTTAGTAAAATAAGGTTATGTTTTGAAACTTTCAATTCATGTCTTTTATTGAATATTGCTTTTGAAATCCTTCCCTATCTCCCATGTTCTCTGGTTTTAACTATTTCAAAAACCAGGAAACAAATAGACCGAGTGTTTGGTCGCTTTGAAAGTGATGAGAAAGTAATCATGAATGTAAATTGCATTTGGCAACGCCAAGGTGAACCCGTCGTCAGAGTTGGCATATTCCAAAATGAAGCATGGTTTTGTCTCTTGCACCAAAAGGAATGTTTTGTTTTGTGTTATTTATTTTCCACAAACATTGATAATGTTTGTCTGTTCCAAATACAGTTTTATTTTGTTTCATATATATTTGAGTTCATATTGCATATTGTTGTCAAGACATAATAAGTATACTGTCCATGGAGCATAAACATCATTTGTATCAATACAATATTTGTGATAGTGAGCAAATATCAACAAACTTAAGAGTCATTAAAAATACAATAAAAACAATATAGTTATACAAACATACATGTATACGTGTGTATGTTATATATAATTTAAAAGATGTTTATGTTTATTTTCATCATTTCATCATTTCACTATAATTTGAAATTTATTCTCATTTTCGACCTTCAGAATAAATTTATTTTTTGCATAAGGCTTTTCTTTCTTTTATATAGATATGAATATTGACATAATCCTATCAATTTCAAAATGAATATTTTAATGTATTTTTTTACTTTGTTGAATACAATCAATTATTATGTTTTGTTTCTTTTTCATTTTATAAGTATTCGGAACAAAACTATACAGCACAAACAAAATAAGTATGTTTTTACAATCTATGGGACAAAATATCTTACTTCTTTGTACTGGTGTTAAAATATCACTGTGTTATTTCCATTTGAAAAAGGACAACGTTCGTTAGATACTTGGTTGCATGATATCAATTTTTTACGCGCCATATTCGATTTAATTTCATTATTTCAAGTCATGTTCGTTTCAGAAAAAATATATCAACACGACACCTAAAATCACAATGATAAAAATGGACGCTAATAACCCTGGGTTTATTTTTATTGTAAGTACTATCAGAAAATGATTTACAAAATATGCAAAAGTAAAAAGATAAATCTTAAACTGAAACAAAATGTTATCATAAACAATGCGTTGATTATAACTAAAGGCCATGAAAATATTTTGAACAATAAGCAAATAATATACATGTAAAACTAGGATTGAATATTCAAATATTAAGCGCTTAAAAATTACAGTTTTATAGTGTATTCAACTCAATTCATTGTTTTTATTTGATCCCGTTTCCGGTTTGTGAAAGTCGAGGTTGCGCGTGGTGTTTTTTCCAGGACTTTACAACAGGAATATTTTTATTGAAAATCATTATTTTGTTAACCCCTTAGTATGTATTATATTTATACCTGGGTGAATAAAGATATTTGACTTGAATTGAGTATATTGATAAAGGCAATGCATTATAATTGTATATCAATAATAATTCTAGATTAAATCCTATGTTTTGCTTAGTTTGCACAATTAAGGCCTGAATATTTTGATAGAATAATTTCAAATTCAAACGTCTGTAATAGTGAATTTGAATGCTACTACGTATATTTATGTGCAAAATTCCTTTTTCTATTTAATGCAGATTTAAAGGTATAATGTTTTTCCTGTTTTATACTTTAATGAAATTGCATATTATTTTTCCTTTTTAAATACTTGATTCTATCAGACTTATCAGAATGGTTCATGTTTCTGTTTAAATGTTTTTATCAAAGTATGGATATTTTTCCTGTTATAATGCTATAATAAAAGTATTCATCTTGTTCTAATTTAATAGGTTTAATTCTATTATAAAAGTGCATAAATTAGGAGGCTTTTCGTGTTGTGCCTCCTAGTAAAACATGACATTCCTGACAGATTTCAGGCATATGTGTACTTTTTTATGGTGCGGTCAGTGTGTGTTTGTATACATATTCTGCAGACCATGTACTCGCAAACTTGTTGTTCCAAGGAAAGGTTATCTGTTGTTTTGGCTTTGTTCAAGCATTTTTTGGATGTCTCACAATGCTACGTGATAACATCGTATTCAACAGATTTATGTCTTTTATAGCATTTGTAAGTACTATAAAAATAGTTTTTGAGTTGTGAAATGATAATACGTAAAACAAATACTTATCATTGTTAACTAAATAATATCATTCTTAACTGAAAATTTATCATTATTGTGGTAACTGATTCCTATATTTTAATGTCGTAGTTCCACAATCGTATATATTCGGCCATTTTCGTAAGACACGGTGTAGCTTGTCCTACGGTTCTTGATAACACATGTGTTTATTTGTATTGTCTTTTATGAACAATTTTAGATAAAACCAATTTTAATAAAGTAACCATATCATAGGTTTCTAGGAAATAAATGTTGTGTGGATTTGTATAAATTAGGTGACTCATACAAGTAAAAGCAGGTGATAATCATATTCTTAAAAATATCTTAATTAAGATGATGACAAATATATCGAGGAAACCTTTTAAAACCGATATTTTTTCATCCTGTTTCCAGAAAAAGAACAATGAAAATAACAATGAAAACAGTTGTTTAATAGCATTCCTGGTTTGATTAATTGGCCATGAACTACTTTCATAAAAAACCGCCTGCAAAAAAAATGTCTGCATAAGATTTAATGGGCGTGAAACGGAATATAATTTTAACCATTATATATAAAATGTGGCTCTTTCAAAGACTCTTATATTAAAGACTGAACCGTTTCCTGATTTGAGGTACAACATCAGTGCTTACAGCGCTTTGATTTATTTCAGGTCTTATGGAATGTGTGGATTCTGTTGAACATGATGAGGAACACATACCTTGCGTATAATTATGAAATGGTACAAATCATCATTATTCATTCATGTAACACAATAACTTTTAACCTCATGAATTCGTTAAACTTAACTACTTAGCGTCCAGTGTTTAACTACCTTTTATTGAGTTTTCGGAATATAAAGAAGGTCTTAGTAAAGACAGGTCTGACTACACACAACTCTTGTTGTACACGGTTGGTGAGGGTAATTACTATAAGTTTCAGCAGGATGGGAGTTTAAAACAATAAAGGAACTAAATTCACATATGACGTTGATGTATTAGGAAATCGTAAATACCTTTGAAAGAGTTAAATATTCTTAATCTGATCATATAAACTTTGTGTTCATTTATAAAATTGGAATCGTTTATTTTATTTTTATACTGGTCGTATTAGTTTCCCCCTTGGCAAGTGGTCTGGCTGGCGGGCGGGCGGGCGGGCGGCGCTCAATTTATGTCAAATTACATAGGAATGTTCACCACTATGAGAAGCCGTGTCGCGTGCACGTTCTTTTACATTAATTGTAACATGGCACGAATGTTCATCATTGAAAGACTTATTGCGCTTATAATCCAGGTCCCTACTACCAAAGTCAAGGCCTCATAGAGAGGTCAAAGTTTATGTACGGGGTCCATTAAGTCATCTTTATTGATGGAATGTAACCAAATGATAACTATCATATCTATAAGTGTGACACATGTTATATAGGTTAATATTTGCAACGTCAACATCACTAGAGATATTTTCCTTATATTGCCCAGAGCATATCTCCTATACGCATATATATTATGCCCACATTATATATGTCAAAAGCTTTTGTGATGGGCGTATTTTGCGACAATGTTGCTCTTACAAGTTGATAGGGTCTCATGAGAACATAAGTCACGCTTATTTCTCAAGTAATAAATTTTGTATAGGCGCGAGTTACATGATGCCTAAGAGTATCTTGATTAGCATATATATGAGGGATTTATAAATCGTTTTTTTTATTTTATTCATTAATCTTAAATGATATGTTAATTTTTTATTCAAAGGGGTGGAGTTGTCGATTTGTGTTGTCTGTCATGTTTGCAGTGCCATGGGCACTATCAGTAAGTATTTAGCCATGTTAAATTAGCTAACAACATGCTTCAGCCATGGGTACTAACAGTAAGTATAAGCTAAGTGCATGCTTCAGTCTATTGTCAGTACATATAACTTAAACTTTATCGTTTTTCAAAATGCACGTGTCATTAGAGGAAGGTCTGAATCAATATATTGTGTACAAAATTCATATTATTTGGTTATTGCTTTTTCCAAAATAATTTTACTTTTGAAAACCTGAAATACGCTATGATAGCTCATAAAAAATGCGATTTTTAATTTAATTTGATGTTATATTATTATTTTTATTAAATCTTTCCTTTAATACGTGCCTCAGTAATTCTATTATACATTGTTCTATGTAAAAATTTCACAAATATATATAATTTTTGCTTTCGGCCCTCAGCGAAATTCCCTTAAATGTTGTAATTTCGTGCTGTTCCAGGTTAAGCGACAGATCGAGTTACACCGACAACTGATACGTGAAGGCGACACGAGGCGAAGAAATTAAGTAGACGATAGATTCACTCTACCTTATTGTGTACCTTTCTGAGGAAATAACATTCATATTCACATACCTACGGAAACTCAAACTTTTTACGGTCAAATGTTGATGCCACGTGTTTTCAATGACGATTTCTATATATGCATACATTTAGTCTTCTAAAAAATCTGGTTTTGTTAAGATTTAAAGAAATAATATAACAAAAATGCATTGTATTTACATTAATATGCTAATCTGATGTATTGTATCCCGCTCGTTGATTGGATAAAGTTGTATTCAAACTCGCCCTAAAGGTTCTATGGAATCCAACTTTTCACAATCAACTTTAGCGATACATACAGACATCATATCTCATTAATATTGTAAATGTACATATATCTTCATCTTTGTTAAGAATTATACATGCACATATTTGTTAAGTTGAAAAAACTGCAATTGTCCTCAGTGCTTTGGGTCAAGCGAGCTACCGGTGGTGACTGCAAGCCAGGTGGATACAATCATCACAAATGCCAGGTAAATTTGCATGAAAAGAGGTGACAGGCGAATAATTTTACAATTCCGTCAGGTTACACGCTGGTCTTTTTTAAGTGTAGTAAAATTCTAGTTATCAAAATATTAAACCCAAGGCATGCTTTAAGGATAAGAAAAATTAATATTCAAAAGTATCTGTTATTTCAGCTTTGCGTTCTTCTTTTAAATAAATTTTATTTTCTTCTTTATAGATTTTGCAATCTTCATTTGCGTCATTGAAGTGAATAATGGTTCTTTATAGCTTGATAAATCAAAGAAATGTCTTAGGGTTTTAATCATTACAAGATCTGTATAGATCGATGTTTTCCACAAAGAAATCTACGTTTGAAAACTATTCAAGGAACACAGTATAGTATAGTGTACCGTCATTGCAATATTGTTTTCGCATGATATCATTTACCGATATCATTTTGAAAAACCGGTCTATAGCATATCATTCTGAAGCCACCATCTCATTCACTGAAAACAAAAAAAAATTTTAAACAAACAAAAACATCCAAAAATAAATTAATAGAATATTTATAAATAAATATACAAAATAAAACATATCTAAATTAAGACGAAAGTATTACATTTTGTTTCTTCAAGTTATATTGTATACAGGAAACATAACTTGCTAATAGTAGATCAGTTACACAGTTTGAAGAGTATACAGTTTGTATGTCATTCGTATACTTATACCGTATATAAATTGATGACGACCTCGATAAGAAAATAAATATCGAAACAAATTAAGGTTGAGTGAGCACCCACTACTTTAAACGCTATTTTAAAGTTATGCATGAAACATAAAACATTAACATATCTACCTTGTTGAAATGTTAAACTTACTTTTATATTAACAATAAACCACTGCAAAAGAAGGAAGAATTAAGAATTTATAAATAACAAACCGGCATAAAATTAGTGAAAATTTAAATGATTTTGCTTAAGGTATCATAACAATTTAAGAATAGATGATTTAGAATGGAATTCGATATGGAAGAAAAAGTCAAAGAAAAAGTGCAGGATATTACGACAAGTCTATATGAGAATACTAGAGTAGGAAGTGATACTGTGGAAGTAAGTAGATCCACAGAAGAAAATAAATCGATCAAAGGTAATTTGCATGAATACGAACATCTAAGATTAGGCGGTAAAAAAGAGGTTGAAGGCAACACAAGAGTAACGCATGCAACTGATGAAAATAATGAGCATTTAGAAAAAGTCGGAGCAAGTCTTGATGAAGGACAGTATGAAAAACTCAGAAAAGAAGACAAATTGTCTGAACATTCTATTTCTCAACGCAAGATACAGACTGAGGATGTTCAAATTAAAAGTGAAATTGCCAACACTAAACAACCTTCACGCCATGCACTTGTCGATAACTCTAATGATAATACAGATAATCAAGGAGTGCATAAGGTTGTAACTAAGCATGTAAATGCTCTGGAAAAAGATGTCTTCAGGCGGATTAGAATTGTTGTAATAATCTTTTCGGTTTTGGTTTTAACAATATATTTGTTCGTGTTTTTATCAATGGTACTCGATTTTTCACCTAAAGGAAAAGGTAAGAACACTACAAAAGTACTTTTATGCTAGCTCGGAGTTGTTCGAAATATTTTGTATACAGATACGGTTGATTTTGGTATATAAATATTTGTTATCGAATCATAGCTATTAAAGGCTTTTTTACTCAATCTTATGATATTTTCAGTTTAGATGAAATACAGTTCTGTCTGTTATTATTTGCTGACGACATAGAGGATATTCAAGTTTTTTCTATAAATACATGATATATATACATCGAGTGGTATGAAAATAAATATTTCATGAGTGGCGGTAGCCACGAGTGAAATATGGTAATTTTCATGCCACAAGATGAAAATAAATCATGTATTTATAGAAAAAACTTGAATTTTCTGTTTATTATGTACATTTTTCTCTTTTTTGCGATAAAATTTGAAAAACTTTCCCTTAAATTTTGTGTACTGGTAGAATTTAAAAGAAAGTAGTCCGGCAAGACACCAGTGAAAATACGGAAAATATGTTTCACTGCAGTGAAAAATAAATTTTTACAGTGAAAATACGGAAAATGAAAATACGCATTTTATTTCATCAATATTTCTCAATATTTCATTTATAAGTATATAATAAACTGTTTTATTTTCATAGGACTACAAAATGTGTTAAATAACATGAACATGTATAGTGTAAAGCATAGACTATAACTGTTAATACTGATAAAACTGTAGTCATGGTTATAAAACTGGAAACTGAACACAATATGAGGATTTGATGTATTCTATGGTAGTGAAAACCTAGAAGTTGTGAGACCTTTTACATACTTAGGTGTGACGCCTTCTTCTAATGGTATTTTTATCAAGCAAATATCGCTTGTTATCAAGTTTTAAAAGCTTTGTTTTCTTTAAATGCATTATTTGATAAAGTAAATTTTAAGATACCAGATAAATTTAAGTTATTTAATACCACGATATAACCTATCATAAATTATGGATCAGAAATATGTGGAATACATGAAGCCCCTGACATTGAAATAATACATTTGAATTTTGGAAAGAGTTGTTAGGTGTAGGGCAACAAATTGTAAATACATGTACAACAGTGTATGGAGAATTAGGAAGATTCCATAAATTGTTTTTAGAAAGACAAAGATATTAAAATTTTGGTACAGAATTCTTCAGAATAACGACAAACTTATTTATATAATTAAAAGTATGAAAAAATTATAATGATGCTTTATTAAGCAAGTGGTCGAGTGATGTACGGGTGTTTGTTGAATGAGTTAGTTTCTCCATTTTTTATGGAATAATCAAAGTGTTACAAATGATCAACTAAACATTTTCATAGCACGAATAAAAGATCAATACTTACAACAATTGCATAGTGAAATTAACAATTTACCTAAGATAGAAACATATTGTATATTTGGGGGTGTCCGTGGCCGTGTCGTTAGTGTTGTTGACTTCAAATCACTTGCCCCTTACCGCTGTTGGTTCGAATCCCGACAGAGACTTTGGATTCTTTCATGTGAGGAAGCTATCCAGCTAGCTTACGGAACGTCGGTGGTTCCACTCAGGTGCCTGTTCGTGCCTGAAATAATGCACGGAAGAGCACCTGATGTCTTCCTCCACCAGTAAACCTGTAACGTCGGGATATGACCTACACTGTGTCGTTGTGACGTAAAACCCAAAACGAAAACAAAAACAAAACAACAACAAAAAAATGTATATTTGAAAATGAACATGTTGCGAAAAAATATTTGTTCTTTGTTAGTTAATAAAATTATCGTGCTACTTTACGTCGATTTAGATGTTCTGCTAATAAAGTAACAATAGAGGAAAGCAGACACAGGAATATTCCAAGACCTGAACGAATTTATTTACTTTGTATTATGAATGTAGTTGAAAATGAGTACCATTTTCTATAAGTGTGTCCCTTTTATTATATTATTTTATAGATAAATACGATATCGTTGTTTTCCTAATTATTACTGTTCTTGGCCTAGTAAACATTAATTTACAAATTATGACATCTAGCCGAAAACGTATTATAAATAAACTGGCAAAGTATTTATACCTAGCTACATGTAAACGAGAAAATATAATCAATTAATCCGACTGTTTAAAAACATATTACTTTTTCTTTACACTTTATTATCAGTAAGCTATATTAAGTTCGTAGATAATAATAATAAAATAATAAATTAATCATTTTTAAAAAATTCTATATATCTTAATGCGTACATGTATTTATATTTCAGATGGCGGATGGTCAAACTGGGGAAGTTGGGAAGCATGTAGCGCGAGTTGCAGTGTAGGTTTGAGGTCACGAAGCCGACTGTGTGACAACCCTGAACCATCAACGGATGGGAAACAATGTCTTGGCAACTCTAATCAAGCCGACCTTTGTACTAAACCAACCTGTCCAACATCATGAAGTGATCATAGAGAATGATGTTTAGAACGTGTCAATATTAGAACGGAGATTCATGTATTTTTTATAATCCTCCACGCGGCTTTTAATATCATAAAAGCATCAGTTGAATGTAAATGCTTTCTTCCATTTATTTTCAACATTTTCAGGATGAGGAACAGTCAAGCGATCCAATCGCGTCAACTCGGCGCTTTCCGTCAAACTTCGGTAAAGCACATAGAACACAATAGTTAGACTATACGGAGGTGATGCGGTATAGCGGTATATAAACCTACGCTATGAATCTAAACATGTAAACAAATAGTTATTAAATGCTACGAGTTGTTGACAACGTTTATTATAATATTTTTATATCGTAGTAATATCCATTTAAATAAGGAAAATTTATAGATATAAAAGTAAACAGTACTTTATTTACATACTTACTATTGTGGTTGTGTAAATTGAATACAGCTTGACATAAAGTCGAATCTGTTTATAATTCTACATCATTGGGCATTTTTAAATTGATTATAATATTATGATTGTTAAACATATTTTTCAATCATTTTCTTACCGTAATATATTCTGCATGTCCAATATACACATTCGTTTTTTTTTGTTTGTTTTTTTTTAGTTTTTGGTTGTTGTTTATTCTCTTCTTTTGCTTAGTTTGAAATTCTGTCAATCAATGTTCATGCCGGATTTTGAACATTTATCTTAAACAGCTAGCATTCATTTTCGATTTGTGTATTTGTGTACTTTAAAGGTTGATAAAACACATATTGATTGAACAAACAATTTTTCTTCTTTTCAACTACCTTGATATAGCCTCCATCAATGATGTTTATAACAATTCTTTGCAGGAACTCCACTGAGGTCCAAAGGCTTACAAAAAAGGGTTGGAATTTACATAGTAGAAAAATATATATGCTGTTAAATAAATATGGTTCAGAAATAATTTCAAAAATAAAATTAAAATCGTATATTGTGTGCTATTCTTTACCCAATTTGAATAATTTTGGATCAATTTTCACAATTAGAATAATCAGTTTTGAAAACGGAATATGCAAATGATATGATTTTTTTCAAACAATTTAACATATTTAAAAATTGTGTACTTGACTACTTGTCCAATAAAATTCAATATTGTACTGGACAATATATAATCACATAATTGTACTTTATGTATTTGTTACTTTTAGTGTTTATCATTATTATTTATTTCACATCAGAATTTTCATATTTAAACAATTTGTTTGTTTGTTTAATTTAGGTTTTACATCAAACCGACACAGTATATGTCATATGGAGACGTTCCAGCTTTACTTGTGGAGGAATACATCAGGTGCCCTTCCGTGCGCGAGCGGGTACCTGAGAAGAATCACCGACGTTCCGTAAGCTAGCGGGATAGCTTCCTCACATGAAAGAATCCAAAGTCTCTGTCGGGATTCGAACCCACAGCGGTGAGGGATTTTGTGTAGTGGTTATGTAACAGTTTGCCTTGAAAATGAATACATTTTTTGTTCTTGAGAAAGGGGTAAAAACCATGTGTTTTAGAATTTACATGTATTTTTTATGGAATAAGAGCATTTGTGATGCCTATCACCTGAAGAAGAAAAAACGCTGATCGTTTGCCATAAAAATAACAAAATTTATTTAATTTTACCAATGAAATATGGTGTTATATCAGTCAAATATATTTCATATTTTTTAAAAATAAATATGAAATATAAATATGAAAGTAGGCGGAGTCAGAACTCATATTTATTTTAATGGACTTCTTTCGCCATTTTGTTTAAAACATCTGATAAATACAAAACAAATTTTTGTTGAATTTTGTTTTGAAAACAATCTAGAATGATAGAAAATGGTCTAAGTTAGAAAATCAATCCGAACACCAATATCTTTAATTCAGTTATTAACGCTGTACAGACGTTTAAACTGTTTTTTACGTGACGTCACAATGTAGCGCCAAATATCGCGCGCAAAACAAGATGCAATAATATATTACTGCGCGCTGTGCAATTGCAATTGCGTAGCAAGCAATAGGATTTGTAACCATTTTTCTTTCATAATGAAATTAAATAAAAAGGATATTTTTTCGTTTTTCGTGAAATATGGTATATATTTTCACTCAACATGATAAAATGCCACATATTTTCAGTCGCCGTCCCGGCTCGTGAAAATATGTCGCATTTTATCATGTTTCGTGAAAATATATTCCATATTTCACTCAAACGAAAAAATATCCTCTTTTTAAACAAAGAGGTATTTTGACTTTCCTAAAAAATGCTACATCACTAAAGCTGTACTAATAATTGACTAAGTAGTAAAAGATCTATCTAAGTAGCAAATGAGTACCTGTTTTGGAAACTGATGGTAGATATAAAAATAAAAAGATTGAGGCACAAAAAGAGCCTTAAATTGGCCTTAAATTCCTACTGTACTAAGATATTATAGGATTTTAGGTGTTTGTGGGAGGGGAGGGGGGTCGTATCGTTGAACATTGAAAATTGTAATATTGTTTTGTAGATTAAGGCTTATCTTAAATAAATATATCTACACTCGCAAAATTTTAAGAAATGATAATCTTTACATGGTGGATAATTCTCGAGTCAAGTTTGTCATGTAACTTCTAAATAAGATAAATACAAGATAGATAATACAAAAATGGCGAGCTTATTAGTAGTGTGGAGGTCCCGCGACATTTACACTCGAGTGTGAATATTTTCAATGACACATTCGAGTTGTTATTTTTCCATCGAAAATTGAACTGACATACATGTATATTAAGAAACAGATGAACATATCTTAGTGTGATTTTAAGATTTCTACTGTAATTGCATTAGCTCGAATTCAACACAAGCTCGAAATTCGACCATTGCAATTTTTGAATTTCGAAACTTTTAACATTTCTACTGTAATTACACTTGTATGTGAGGACTGAAAAACATTATATATTGAATAAGATATAAATAAATTGTTTAATCTTGGTGATAAAGATGATGTCAAGCAAAAATAATGTTTAGTCCATCACTGATTATAAAACAAGGAATTATCTATTCTCTTATATATCGTTTTTGATACATTATTTTCCGTAATTAGAAAACATTTTATATATTTTTTGTTTGATTTTTACCCGCAACGATACCTTTATGTCCTATCAAAATGAAAAGGAAAATGTCACACAAGGTTAAAACGTGAAGTTGTTGAGTTATCCAAATTCAGTTATCAAAGTCTAACCAAAGCACACATAATAACAATCAATTTAAGTGAAAAGTCCCATCTTGTGTATGTGACTGTGTATGTGACTTAGGTGGAATCGCTGACGTTCCATAAACTAGTTAAATGTCTAAAGCTGGTGTATATGAATAAATATTATGTTTTTTCAGCGTCAAAATCGATCTCTTAAATAGTTTTGTCATTGCCGCCAGACTGAATTCGTCATTGTTTTAATCGGTGCAGACCTTCAATGACCATTCCAATAAACGTTTAAAGTACACGAAATAAGTTAATCCATTAATTGCAGAAGCAATATATATTTATATCTAAATGTAATTAGATGACAAATTGAACTAGCATCATCATGCAAGACAAAACAAAATAAACCTGTATACATTCGAGATTAGATAAGAATTTACAATTGATATATGTTATATTAGCGTAAAAACAGTACAATCAAGCTATATGAACATTTTAATTTTCGTTGCCTTTCGATTGGTACAATTTGCTTTATTTTTCATGAGAATAAAAGTACAGACTGCTATTAGAAGCCAAACATCTTCTCATTGACAGTTTACATTGTACGCGACAAAGCAATAGCTTGACTGCCCTAGGCAAAAAAAGGGTTATAACAACGGTTGTGTAAAGGGTATATGTCATATTTTGCATTAGCTTCGACGGTAAAGGAAGATTTCAGGTGACACTTCGTGCATTTTTTCAGACAATAGAACTACAATTTGCACTTAGTTAACCGCATAAATTTCTTATTAAATACTATAACAAAAAGTTCCTGTCGTGATTCAGATCGACAAAGGACAAATTATTTTAAGTTACCACTTTGCCACGACACAAAATGTATCTATATAATTATATATTATCTAAACTAGACGTACAGTGATGGAAAAAAGACTTAAAGTATATATCTATATATAACATAAGAAATGACATATTTTGTGACCTACGTGCATATATAATAAAATATACATTAACACACTTAATTGCTATGCCTTTAAATTGGACGTGTACGTGTTTTTATACGGAACAATTCAAATGAATTGTTAGTTAACCCTTAGCAAATAGTTTATCCACAAAAAAACTCATGCAAAACCTTTATTTCTGTAAAGTAAGTTTTACATTAATAAAAGCGTGTTATTCTTAGGTAATGTTAAATCGTCGCCTGCTTAGCTCAATAGGGACAGCGTCGGGTTAGAAGTACTGTGGTCGCTGGTTCGATCCTCGGACGAAGCGTAATTCTGTCGTAACAATTGATCATGGGCCATCTGTCATTCAGAATCGAAATTTCTTGCGATAATCGGTTACGCGGAGGTAGTTTGTATGTACTAGTTAATTATTCATTGGGGTGGATCTATGCCGGGACATTAACAAATACATATATTAACATCGACTTAAAAAAGCAAACCAAACAAAATATGTTCATTCTATATATATCAATGTAATACACTCATTTAATACAGAATAGGTGTACAAATGTCTTTCTGGCATATAATATAGGTATACATATTTTTTAAGGTATATGGGATTAATAAAGAGGGTGCTGCCCTTCTGGTAAATTATAAACTTAACCTGTTAAAAATCGGTGTCAAGTGCTGTGTGGCCGGTGTAAAAAGTTGCCCCGTACTTCACTTCAGTGTTGTTATATTTTTCTGGTCCTTCGGGATCATTGATGCCAGCACTATTAAGTGTTGATAATTGAATAACGCTCAAGCCGGTGCTAGGGGGTGTGAGGGATGTTGCATGTATTTATTATCCCCCATGTACAGATTCAATCAAACCGAGTCTGCAAATCTCTTTCATTTGATTGAAGACTGATCTTTGCATCTTTCTCTGAAATAATTATTTCTTTGTTAAAACATATTTACCACATATTTCTTTAATTGTTCTTTTTACTTCCGTCATTTAACTGTTCACTTTACTTCCAATTTTTGTTGTACCGAAACACATGTTTCTATTTGTGTTTCTAATCAATTCGAATCTATAATCAGTTTAATGGGATCACCACCGGGTAAACGACTACTAGGTACTTTGGCCATGTGTTTTACCCCCAATATTTGAATGTTTCTATTGGGATTAAAATGAGCGTAGTTAACTAAACAACTGGTTGTATAAATCCCTGACCTGTCTAATTCAAATTATGAGATTAGTGGATATATCAAGACTTTCACTACAAAATATTCCTAAACAAAGGAGCACATGTTTAAATTTATTCCTATACAAATAAAAGATCAGAGTAGGGATCTGTCAATTGCCAGACATATTTTTAAAAGATACTTTTAATTTAAAGTTTGATTAATGAATTATGTAAGATGAAAATATAAGTATTACTTTTTTTATTTCCTAATGTAAAATGTTATCTTGTGCTGAAATTTTGTTGGAGGGTCCTTACGGGTTTTGTAGTTAAATAGTTTTTTTCGGCGATACATGGTTCAATAATATAATGTTTTAAAACTATATGTTCATCACAATCAGTGAATTTTTAGTTAAATGTATGCAAAAGATTAACTAACAGCTACATGGTTTAGCGGCTTAAGAGCGTTTTCCGCGTACAGCCTCCTAGGGTGTACTAATAAGTTAGTTTTCCTTAGTTATCCCGCAAACATGATCCATGTCTCTGATGTAAGCGGCAGTTTACCATTATTTGTCTTTACAAAAATATTAAAGGCTATACATGTAAATGGTTTATAACAACAAAAGAACATGCATGATATTGAGACTACGGTGTTGAAACGTTCTAGTTAATGACCTGTCATAAACAGTTTGTCGCTGCGTACTAATTGGAAAAAATAATAAAGAATATTTGCCACCTAATTAAAGCATTTACATATAAATTTTCATTTATGCTTTTTGTTAAAAAATTGTTGATAAAGTTATTATGTAGAAGGGTTTTCATACCAGAACTATTTATGACCAACGTACGTATGACTAAACCTGATTACCGCCGCAGTATGACGTCACGGAGTAGTGATTTTGAAAAAATTCAAGAATTTTTCAGAGAATTATTATCTTTACAAATTGCAGATATGAAGTTAAAGAATGAAAATATTTTCATATTGTAAATGTCTGTGATGACTGATGAGTCAGCTTAAAAAATCAAGGTACTATTTTTTGACCTGATTACCGCGACAGTAAGATTTGACGAATGGTATTAACATTGGGGAGGCAAAAACTCCCCAAAAACTATAATTTATCATGGAAATGTTCATACGAAATCACTTTAGAACTCTATCAATATTTTGTTTCGTTAGAACATCTAAATGCTACATTTTGATTGTTTTTAGGGTTCTTTTAACCACAATTTGAAATTCTTATGGAACATGTGCACATTTAGACCAATCCACTTTAAACGAGGATAACAATGGTATTTCCAATAAATGTTTTAAAAAATAGTCATATTACAGTATTTGAATTTATTTCACGATCAGTCAAATTCTCGATAGTACTTTATAAACCATTGGTGCTGCAGAGAACTATCCCCTTTAACTTTTGTATTGAGACATCTCATTGGTCAGATAATTCAAAACGGGTTAACACATATTACGGGACTTTAACAATATCGTGGGAGTTAATAACGTATAAATAACGAATAAAATCATTTAAATCTTTATTTTGTTTCATTCAAGGAAATACATATCATATCATATCATTTCATCAGAAATTTAATCTTGATTACTCTCCCTGAAATAAATCAATCCGTGATGACATTCTCCTAGATTGTCTTATGACAACACGAATTTTTACATAAAAGATATGTGTGCTGTTAGTTTTCTTGTATGCATGTGCATGGTGTTATCTATTCCATATTATATTCAAATGAAACAATATTATTGTCTTAAATCGTTGAACTATGCGATAAATATATACCAAGAATATTGAAGTTAATATATAGCAATAACATATCTAAGATTTTCATCAATCAAATTGTGTAAGACATTCACCAAAAGCTATGTTTGTCACAAAATTTAACTGTTTTCTTATTGCACTAATAGCCAGATAGCTCATTCGGTAGAGGTGCTGTTCGGTATCCTGAGGTTCACGGGTTTGAGTCTCGGTCTCTCCGTCGACTGCACATTCATCTTACCATATTACATTAATACCAAGCAGCGGGAAGGACAGACAAGGGTAAATCATTATTCCCCAAACCCCATCTAAGTGGGGGCATAACAAAGGAATTATTTTGTTTATAATATCCGTACCTTTTCTCACATAAAGGTTTAAACAAATGTGTACATGATTCATCTACCCATTTATACTGGAAAGAGGCCCAAATGGCGGCACAGTTTCCATGTCTGTGATCATTGGGTTGTCCAGTACCCCAATCAGTGAATCCGGTTGCTATGGAATCATTAGAATACCATTTCCAGGTACCCTCGAGAACTTCATCCGTTAGTCCAATCCAGTGATTTGTATCTATATATGAATGAAGGTGCGAAAAGAAATTTTGATTACTATTATTGGCGTGTGCTCAATATGCAAGTTAGATATTTATAAAGTGATTGAAATAACCAACAACGTTCTTAAGAATCGCGCTTGCGTGACATTAAGCCTCATTCGAAGGTTTATATTTAGAGTGAGTAAAAATGAGGTTTACATCTTGCCATAATTCCTTCCAATTTATAATAATTTACTATGCATGAACGATAATAACTCACGTGGCCCAAGGAAGTTTATGTTAATCGCATGCAGCGTTGGAATTATGTTAACGTGGGACGGTCTTTTTATATTTCAGGCTTATTTATAGTTTATCCTTAACATTTTCCAATATCATTTTTGGTCAATCACCATTGTAACTGTCAGTCTTTTAAAATATAAAGTCAATGCAGCTCGACTGAACAATGAAAGGAATGATCATAATGTCACTTTAGATTAAATGGAGGAGTTCAGTTTTTAATGGGTTTGTTAGATTTTATTCATACAAGAATAAAATAGTAAATAATATAATTAATATTTGATGTAGTGTTTATTGTCAGTCTGCTACCTCGTATGTACTACGGTACTTATTTTTTCTGGCAAATAATAATGATAAATAGGACTTAATATTTTTATGAAATTCATCGTACTATGATTAAATATTTACAGAAAAAAAATGAAATAAAATAAAAAACAACAACAACAACACTTTTTAAAGATGACAGATAATTACCTTTTAGAGTTCCAAGGTGACTCTTCAGAAATGTGTTTTCAGATTTTGTCTCGATGATAACCAAATGAGCCCCGTAATGTTGACATGACCTCTGAATAAATGATAAAATTATTATTGACAATTTATGTGGCCCGTTATAAACGGTTGTGTGTTTGTATATATACATTTTGTCAGTCTGCTACCATGAAAAACAATGGCCCTTGTATGTACTACGATGCTTTTATAATATATATATATATTGCAAACAGCAGTTTATATAGGGCCATAATTATATTCTGTCAAAAATCTTTATTTCTCATTTTCACGGGGGAGGAAGTGTTACACGAAGGATGGAGTTCTTATGATAACTTGTTCAGGAGTTCTTGTGATAACTGTCACGGAGTTCGTCGGAAAACATCTGAATATACTACAAAAACACTTGTCAAAAATGGTTATTTTCATCGTTCAAAAACGAGTTTAGGTACTGAATTAACTTTAATGATTAAGCTTGTCTTACATCTTGTATTATGTGTCAAACACTAAATCACAGGCCATTTTTCAGACAAGCTTAATCATTAAAGTTTAATTTAGCACCTAAAACTCATTTTTGAACGATGAAAATAACCTTTTTTGACAAGCGTTTTTGTAGTATATTCAGATGTTTTCCGACGAACTCCGTGACAGTCATCACAAGAACTCCTGAACAAGTTATCATAAGAACTCCATCCTTCGTGTAACACTTCCTCCCCCGTGATTTATAATACAGCAAATTTCCGTTTAGAGATTTCTTCATAAATCGACAGCAGCCATATATAAAACTATATAATTTATAAACGTCACGATTATTCAATGAAAAGCGACACTACAAACGTGCAGTATTTTAATAATTTGATATATGAATTGCTGTATGGAAAATATCCTGATTGTATGAAAATTCATATCCGCTGCAAAATTGTTATTCAAATTTTGAAAAATATATCTTCCGAACAAAATATATTTGTATATTTCCTCAAGAGCGAAATGCGCTTGTATAAAATCATTAAGCAATTCAGACCACTAGGCCATACTTAAAATAGCATCATAATATTTTGACATTTTAACATTCATTCTCTTTACAAGCATTATGTATGTGTGTAAAATAACGGAAACATTCTATACTACGACTTAAGAAGCATTCAAATTTTACAGTAAGAAAGATTTATAATTGCTCATAAGATTTTGCCTAACAAACCTTTTATTAAAAATATCAACTCTTTTACTTACTTCGGCATCCTGAAAATTAAGGTTATGATGTCCGAAGAAATAACACGATCCACCGAAACTTGTCCACCCATCCGCGCAGCATGAGTACACTAACCCTGGAAAATAATGGTACATTTACAAATAACCTTTTAGATAAACTTGAACATTGCTAAAGGGCTAGGTTCTAAAAAAAGGTTAAAATATGGTCGGCGAAAAAAATTAGTCAAAATAAGTGCATGTAAGTCTTTCTGTAATGATAATGGAGTTCAATGTATATATCTGAGAAGGCGCTAGTGAGTATATATATAAAACCGTCGTCTTTTGTACTTGGTTCGTCTTTTCAACTAAAATACCCTCACATAAATAAATGTAAAGTATCAGCTAACAAAATTAAAATGAACTTAAAAAGTACTCACCCAGGTTTGTGCAGAAAAAGAAAAATGACATAATATTAAACGTTAGACTTGACATAGTTTTTCACTTCACCGGGGCTTTCTTTCATGTATTTAGGTATAATGTATTACTTTATTTACTGATAAGGGAAGATTGTTCGCCTGACCTACTCTTTAAGCACTTTTTGATAACGTATATCAAAATGACGTTCCGTGCGGTTGTAAGCTGTTATATGGCAACTGCAGCATCTCTCCCTGTATTTCATCGATGTGTTTATATTTCTCCGTGTTTAAGCCCTGAAGAGTAACAAGTGCTCAAGACCGCTAGGTGGCTTACAGGATGTTGTGTAAATACATTAGTTCTCATAAACATCCCGAATAACCGAGTCTTATTTTCATAAATTGTATCCACAATTGATCCCGATAGGCGTTTTTCTCTAGAAACTCTATCTTTTTATTCTAATTTAATTGTTTTAAACTGTAACAGTTGAAAGCTTCACGACAAGAGGTGGAACTACTTTCCAAGCGTTCAGGATTTATGATTTTATTTTTAATGGTGTTACGCAATATATAAAGTATACTGTAATTATATAACAATTTTACAAGGGACGTTTTTTGGCACGCGCAAAATGGCTGCGAAGGATTGGTCAGCTGTGCAGAGCAAACCTTTAGAAGAACCGAATAAAATGCTACCTTGACAAATGTCTGGTTAGATATCTAAATTACGGTGAAGCGTTACGACACAAAAAATCCATACTAGTAGTACACGTTTTGTATTGTGGCATGACAGATACGCTTAAGTCAATGTCGTATTGTGCCATGTGCTTAATTAAACTATAAAATAAGGAAATGTCCATCAATTCAAGCCTTGCATTTTGGCAGAAACATAGTATATAAGACATTAAAGAGTCAGATCCGTTATGACAACTAACCACAATGAACAAAGTTTCCTAGTTTAATTGATAGATTGTTTTCAGATGTTTTATAACAATGCTATGCAAAAGCTTTTAAACTGATGTTGCATACAAAATGATAACAATCGTGGACGAAAGATATTCTCGGTCGCAATAAATATTTCAAAATCGAAGACAATATACAATCTTTCGTCTAGAGCGCCATTTCTACAATGAGTTAGAACGTGCCCAGCAGGCACTCGACGTTGTTTCAACGTTGAAACAACGTTGAAATATGGTCGTGACGTTGTTCAACCAATATTCAACTATGGACGACCATACGGATATATTGCCAATGTATATACAACGTTGATTCAACGTTGTTTATGGTCGAAGTTTTACATTTAGTTTAATCATTATATAAACTTTTATACCACTTATTTTGTGATATTATTCCTTTATTGAATTAGTCTGTAAGTGATTTTTGTCAGGAAAATTTGCGTTACAATCTTTTTCCGTATACATGTATTGAAAATTAGCGCTTAAACAAATATAAAGCTGGAAATAATTTTCACTTTCTATTAACGCTTTAAATATTAGTTAATATGTTTTGTTGTTTGTTGTTTTATTTTTTAGTTCTTTATGAATAATATTATTTAATAAATTGATATTAGTCAAAACCCCGTTTATAAAATAACGCTGGTCAGGGGAAGTAATTGTTGCGGTCTATGATTTTGTTTGTTTGTCTATGATGATCGTTTGTGCAAATGGTGGCGCTGTTTGGAAAATTTGAAAACAACACGATTGGCAATTTATTTGGATTTCGAAGGTATTACCGTTATATTTTACTTTAGTTTACTGATTATTTTCTAAAATATTAATATTTATTGTTTAAATTCTACTTTAATTTACTTTATGAAATAAATGAGAGATATAAACACATGATTGAGTTGATTTGACACGTTTTCGCGACCTGGGTTCGATAGGCCTTGTAAGCATAAAGTTATTGATGTCATTGGCAATTTATGATTTTACAAATCTTGCCTTTCTTTAATTTATTTTTCATATTATTAAACATTTATCTGTACTATATCCTATTTAGAATTTAATCAATTTTAAAATTGAAACCTATAAAGTAGTTCGGCCCACTTAATTTACGTCCAAAGACGATTCGTCAATATATATAACTATGTTTATATTTTATTGATAGTATAATACAGTGTTAATTAGTTTGAAAAAAATACATTATAATGATTAGTATTAATTTAAAAAACAAATTTGAGTGTTAAACTTTAAAGTTTAATAGTCGTAAATTTAAGGGGAATAATATAATAATATAATATAATAATAAATCTATTTCTATTTTATTATATATTATTTTATATTCTAGATCCTGGTCCTGGCTGAAATTTAGAGTATTGCAGCTGTAGCCTGTATACCATACATTCAACATGAAAAGGAGTTTCAGGTTTGTTACATTGAAATTTATTCTTATTAATCTATATAGGCCTATTTGAATTTCTTTACAATACAAAGTATAAATTTTTCAACTACTGGATATTTATCTTGTTTTAAAATATATTTCTTTCGGAACGTTCCTGTAACATTATTAATTTAAAATTTACATATTTGTTGATTTCAGGATGCTGCATAAAATGGTCTTAGCTAGAGCCTAGAATGTTAATTTCTTGGAAATATGCTGGAAGGAACTGACGGGGAGCAGTTTTTCTTACCAATCATAGGTGAGACTTTTAAATAGCTTCTTTTTAAAAAGATTTTGTTGTCTTATATACAGTATTTGCTGTTAATATCAAACTTAGCTATGTTTCAATTTCTATGCTGTTTTATGATGTAAATCTTAGAGAAAAGCATTTTAAGATAAAAAAAATCACTAAGTTGAGTAATTATATGTATAATTTGAGATTGACCAAGTCACTTTTAACTACAAACTTCTAATTTTTATTTGCAGAAGCAGTAAGAGACAGCCAAAGAAGTACTCAAACACTTAACATACCCGGAAAGATCTAGAAGAAAAGATTGGAACAGATTGTAGCTTAATTGTTAAAACTATTAAAGTGAATTTAAGCTGCACTTGAACTGTATTTTTGAAATAAAATATCTGAGTATTTTATAGTGTCTTGATATTTTGTTAAACTTGGTTACTTTGCTTTATATCCAAATATTAAAGTATGGTGGGATTTCAACGTTGAAATGACATTGAAACTTCAACGTTGTGTCAACGTTGAAGCTGCAACGTTGTATCAACGTTGAAATTTCAACGTTGTTTCAACTTTCAAATCCGAATATAAATCCAACCTTATTTCAACGTTGAAATCTGACCATAATTCAACGTTGAAGCAACGTTGATGTGCCTGCTGGGTGACGTTCATTAGACGCTTTAACGTTGTCAAAATGTTCTGTGACGGTGTATATAATATCATATTGCATGTAATACATCAGAGGATCAAGCATAATCAGAGAGAGCTACAAAGTAATCAATAATAGAACGGTATGTGATTTTTATTTGTTTGGGTCGTCAGACCAAACAAATAATGGTAGCGAAATTTCAGAGTCTAATGTTGTTAATTGCAAATGCCGAAAGTAGTCCACTTTTTTGGAGCGGTTACTTCCCTTTTGTATGTACACTAAAGCCGAAAAATTCAGGGGAGATCACTGCGTAAAGATGGTCAAAGACAGGCGCATCAATTTTCAAGCAAAGTAATTCCCGAATGGTCAAAGATTTCTAATATTGTTTTATTGTATTTTCTGATCGAAAATAACTTAATACAAAGCGGACAGTCAATCTCTGACTCAGAAGTTTACTACAAACCTAACAACAAGTAGTTCTCAAAACAGCTGAAAACTAGCGATTTAAAAGAAAGAAATATTTTATTTTGTTACAAGTATCCAACAAATTACAACGCATTTAAAGTTAAACAATAGCGTTGGCTTATAGAATTGTCAATAAATGCACAATCACAAATTACGCGGATGAATATGATTTTATCAATGAAAATACTATTTTTAGCCATGTTGATTACCGAATACTACACAAACCGAGTAGTGGAATATATAGATTCTACATGCCGGACCGTTTGGGCGAGAGGATTTTTGCTAAAATATTTACTTCAATTACAAACAACAGGTTTACCCTGAACAAAATACCACGAAATTAATAAGGATTACAAACCCGAACTGCAATGGAAGTTCTAAATTTAGAATGACTTGATATTATTCAAATCGACTGTGTCTAACTTCTCCGTGGTACAGTGCTTACGCGCTCGCCTCGTGAGTGAGAGGTCTCGAGTTCGAATCCCCGTCGAGGAAACTTTTTTTTTGTTAAATTCTTTTTTTTAAGTGTTTTTGTTAAGGAAGTAGCCATGATATACAAAGATAAAGTGTGGCTGTCGAAAAAAAAAGAACATAAATGATTTTTTGATGCAACTCTAGTTATGCAGAATTACGTATGTGTCAAACTCTGGTGCCTTACAAAAGGAATTATAATACATAAAATAAACTTATACAGGAAAATGCATACAGATATACAGTACGATTTAGATTGCAAAGATCAGAAAATACCACAGAACTTGCAGCCGTTTGATTCTTTATAAATATACATGCTTATAGTAAGCTCCAGGATTATTTACATCTGTGTTAAACAACAGTTAAAGTCGTTACAAGCCCTAATTAAGAATAATATGGTTTTCTTCAGGCCGTTCACATATAAATTCACCGTGGCTGAAGGGTTTTCGGGCTCGCTTAGGAAGCGAGAGGTCTGGAGTTCAAATCCCAGTAAAGGTTACTCATTTTTTTAAATTGTTAAAGTCAAATAAACATTGGATTGAATATCAGTGTTGCAATTAGTCTAATAGCCAATTTACTACAATTAAAACGCTGGAAAGCATTGGTGGCACTAAACATATAATCTCACAACCTGCACCTTTCTTACATTCTGAGACCCAAACAAATTCAGCGCCTTCTGTGCTTTGATTTTATACAGGGGTTCCGTGCGGCTTTGTTTTACATAATAATTATTGTTTTACTACTTTTACCGAGCGTTCACGCCGCCATTTTATGAGTCCAGTGTACGATTTTGGTCACGTGCACATCCCAATGATGTAAAGTAAACGTTGAATTCGTCGCCCTAATTCCATAATGATGTAAGTCGTATTTTTACCATTTTGAGAAAATCGACTTCAAAGTTTTAACAGGCTATATCTTCACACTTACTCAACCAATTTTAATATAAAATACATCATAGTGTGCAGAATTATTTTAACTTTTACACTTTTAATTACGAAGAAGTTCCTGAAGATAGTTTTTTAAAAAATCAAAATAAAAGAAATGAAAAATCACTGAAAAATATGTTTTATTGACAAAAATACAAGAACCAGAATGCTGTAATAAGTTACAGCAATGTGACCCTAAAATATCATTACATTTAGGAGTTACAACAGTGTGAAATAATGACTATTTTACTGTTTTATACTGAAATTATATTAAATTTAGACGTAACTAGAAATTGAATGCTTTAACGAATAGTCTGGATCCACATTTATTTAGGCACCACAGAGCATGTAATATGATCAGGATCAAAACAGTAAATTTAGTCTTAAAAGTCAATAATAGAAATCCAGACAATGCGGTGAAGTGTGAATAGCCACGAACAGGCATTTTAAGGTTGAAATTGAACTCGGGCTTCATTATCTTATGACCATTTACATGAAATAGTGAGCCTTGCAAATGAACAAAAAATAAAGTATTACTGATTTTGTAAATGTATCACATTGAGTTAAACAAAACGAAATCAAAATTTAGAAACATCGTCATTGTATTGATATTTACCACATTAAATAGCAAAACTTTTATCATATGATATGCTATTTTCACATTAACACTGTACACTATAAAATATTTGGAATTCAGATTTACTTTTGGTTTCGTTTATTATATCATTAATTCATTCCAAATTCAATTTTGAATACCTGTTACTTGCATACAAACAGCATGTTGAACACAATTTGACTTACAAAACACACAAAAATGTTTGAAAGATGTAATTGCTTCAACTTTGAAAAACAACATCAACAATGAGTTCCTTTCTCTGTAACATGAAAAAGAATAAACCTATGTATTTTACTTTTCTAAGAACAGCATTACTTAATGTTTTGTTTTAAAAAAAGAAAAATATGAAACACAACTCAAAGCTCACAAATTTTCATAGATGCTACAGATCTGGATATGGTGTTTCAATGAACTACTGTACTTCAATTACTACATGTATTTATATATCAAGTGGCATACAACTTCTTTACATACAATAACAATTAAGTATACGTTTGCTTTTAATATTTTTAACTGAACTGTTTACATCAATAACTCATTCGTATAAAAGCAATGCTCAATATCTAAGAGTTTCAGTCAAATATTAATTCTATTTTACTTCAACAAACGTTTGATGAAACAAATATGACAATTTAAAGATTCCTTAATGTTTTACATGGTCTTAAGACTTTGTAACATTTTTTCACAAAATCATTTTTTCTACGTTTCAAATCGAATGACAATTTTTAACTAAGCATATTTTTTTTCTTTTTAAAAATAGTTTTGGTAATGGATAATTTTCAGTTCAAAGGTTCAAATCACTTGATAATTAATTACAGGTAGTATTACCTTACGAGTTGGAAGTAGATGTACAAGAATTATTTTTAACTTAGAAACTTAGATTAATTTTGCTTTGCATGTTCCAATTACATAAGAAATTTTAGCATAAGATTGAAAATGATTATGTTGACAAAAAGGTATAGACTGACACCCTGTTGATTTATGCAAAATAGCTGAGTAGGTCAACAGGGTGGCATTCTGTTTAATAAGTATTTGTTGTGCAAATGACGTCTCTTATTCAACGCTAAATGGTGCATCTGAGACAACTCGGTCTCAGCTTTTAAACTTTTGTTATAGGGATATTATCAACTTTAACCCACCATATAGGCTTTGACGTTTGGACGTACTGTTTTAAGAACACAAACGAGTGATGTAGGACTGAACACTTCTGCCATTTTAAAAGTGTTTTGTCTTTCTTTCTATATGACAGTGGGTATTGTTAACCACTCTGGATTGAAAAATGCCTTGGACAGCAAAACTTTTGATATTTTTGTGATCGTTATATGAAAGTGCAGAATTTTGAAATTATGAAAATTATGAAATTATGAATTATGAAATAAACATGATTAACCTAATTTAACATCAGTTATGAGTGGTAAAGTTATATGTGTAAATTTTATTCGAATCACTTAGCACCAGTACGGTAACTTGTCTGATATAGTTAAAGAAAAACATTGTACAAAATGTAACAATGGCAGTAGTATGTTTCTATTTGATGAGTTTTGTTTGTAAGTTAAAAGTATAAACAATCTTATGCAAAACCTGATTGTCCGTATTCAATGGTAACATTGATCAATCAATCATATAATCAATCACATATCAAGTTATTAACAGCTGATAGTTGTGAATATTGAAAGTTTGTATCAATTTATCCGATTTCCATGCTATCCGAATTTCATAACACAGCATGGTGCTTTGAATTTAGCTCAAGGGTTAAGAGTAGTTATCATTTCTTTTTAAGGTTTGAAACAGTTCAATAAAATATTAATCTATAGATAATTAGATAACATCTAAAGCAAAACACTTACATGTTATCAAGAAATATAAAACGTAAAATGTCATTCCTGATACCTTGAAAAATCTGCCATTTTGTCAAAACAGCATCACGTGACTAGAATCTTAACAAACTATTGGTTCAGAAGTTACGATATTATGGACTGTATTTTTATCACAATTTTTGGACTTACAGCACTCTGACCCATTCAATATATTGTTACAGGCAAGAACCAGAGTGATGTTGTTCTTACCATTAGATAGAGAAAAAAATTACGAACATTTTGATACCAAACACTCATTTTTTTCAAAATTGGAGTTACGACACTCTGGAATTAGCGCGACGTGATCACACTTAGCTAGGATTTTGTATATGTATTTGTTAGATATATGTGCATTTCTGGCAAAACATGTAACATTTATGCATTTCTTTAGAAAGAAAAATATAGTACTGTAGTATATGAACTTCCGGTCAACCCTCCTATCTTGATACCTTATCTTTAACGATATTCAAAACAAAAGTTAATCCAAACAATTTTATTTATTCTAAACGTTAGTTCAGAAAATGGCATTCAACTTCGTGCAAAACACTTTAGTGTCGGCAAACTTGGGAACATTCTTGCGAGAAGTCGGTAAGTTGACAGAACTTTTCTTTACAATGAATGAAGAGTCCTTGATTGTTGTTGTCAAAGGCGAAGACTCGGAACTGAAACCTGGTTTCATGGTTGTCCATGGTCAATATATGAACCTGAGAGTCCATGGCACAGCTGAAACAATACATTTTTATTTTCACTCTTCAATTGCATGGATATTTAAAACATTTAATTTGAATATAAAAGTTAATTAGATGTAATTTAAGAAAAGAAATGTTTTGTTTAAAGCCCGAAACCTTTAGACTTACGGATTTTTAAGCCGACTAATTGAAAATTTTCTCTCATTATGACGATAAAGGTGGAAAACACATACATTTCGGTATTTTATACCAATAAATGGTTAATAACAATTACCTATTTTCAATTAGTGGGAATGTTGGTCCAACTTTTTCGTCACTGGTCGGTGTTGCATAGCATGACTGGACGATCATTTTTGTGCTGGAATCTGCGTCAGGTGTGTAAATTTTCACGTATGCGTCTGTATTGACGGTAAGTTTTAAAGGATTTTTCTGTAATTCGTGAGTAAATCCTGAAATTTTATTTTCATATTCAAACTTTAGTAACAAAAAGTAATACATATACATGTAGAAAAAAGAAAATAACCAACACTAGCATATATGAAGTCTGAAATCATATTTCATTAAACCTGAAATCACATTTACGATAAAATCACATTTTTAAAGCCACAGATGATAAAATCCACGAATACAGACGATAATACTCTCAAAGTGTAAGACGAAACAATTATACAATAGCAAACGATAAAAAAGTCTTGGCGCAGAAGATAAAAGTACATTCCAACCTTGCAAACGTAGCATTGTCATGAGTTAATGTTTGTCATTCATTTAAAGTATCAAAACTTGTTAGGAGTAACTTGATTATACCTGCATCGGAATAGAACGACTGTTCAACTTTATAGCTGGAGTTTGAAGTAAGGCCAGGGATATTACTAGTATTATGGGAAGGTTGAACATCAATCACAGTGGAACCATTCCGCAATATCTCACAGTTTAAGGTCACTGTCCAGTTGTAATTACGAATAACTTGTGGTCGCAAAGGTTCGTGGTACGCATAAACCAATTGATTTGTGTAAACGTTAGAGGACGGAAGTGTCTGAAATAAAAAAGGGAAAAATAAGGTTTGCGTAAAAGAAAGCAATTTTATATGTGTGTAAATAAGCATTTTCTGATGATTAAAAATGAGCAATTTCGTACGTGTATGTTTACATAAGCTGTTTTGTGTAAATACAGATTAGCGTTTTTTGTGGAATTACAAATGATTTGCCTTAATAGAAAATAAGACTACAGTTACACATGTAATTTCTTTTTATATGTTCAGTTAAAACATGATTACTATGCAATGTATATACATGTATGGTCGAGTGGTAAGTGAAACTTCCATCAGTTTTACCCCGCTGTAAGCTCGAATCCGACCAGAGACTTTGGATTCTCTATTGAGAAGAAGCTCTCCTGCTAGCGTTCATAATATCGTTGGTTATACTCTGATATACCCCCTCGTGCTTGAGATAATGCACGTCGAGGCATCTAAGGTTTTCCTCTACCAGTCAAGTCGCATAATGTTGTACACAATGTCAGTGTGACTTAAGTAATATGGTCCTTTTTGTCGTCTGCTTAATATTAAACTTGCAAAAGAATACTACGGTGTTCAGTTAGCGCCAGTGCGTTTTCTATAAAAACTAAAAGTGCGAAGCATGACAGTACGATGGTGACAGTACGACAGAACGATGGCGAAGTGCGAAAGTACGATGGCGAAGCAGGACATTACGATGGTGACACGGTCCATCGTACTGTCGTGCTGGTCCTAACACCAACAATACCGCTTATTAAATATATTTTGCAATGAACTTGATTGGTACCGTTTCTTTTGTACCGCAAGCATGTAATTCATTCGTAAAACCCAAGACATTATCCTGAAAAGTCCCTGCGCACCCGTCCATTCCAAGCTGTACATCGGAGTGTTTTGAGTTCGGGAACACGCGCTGTAAACGGTTCATGTCAACCAGTATTATCCATCCGCCTGCACGACATGACGCATTTATAGCGTCAGGCAGACGAAGACCTTGACGTAACGAATACAGTAATTAATGACATATCTAGAACTTAATATACCAATGCAAACTTTCTTGAAATTAACTATTAATTTTATTAAAAGATATTGATGGACAAATATTACTAGGCTCTGCGGTATAGCCTATGATAGTGCTATCTAAGTGCTTGATCAGCAATTACTTAAAAGATAACTTCCGGGTTCACCAGTAGCGAGCTGTCACTACCAGCCTGAAAAAAAATACTTTCCACTGATAAGAAATGTGAAATATTGTGTAACACTGACATAGATCTTATCCTTTTCTTCAAGCAATACTTTTCTAAAATCCATTTTCAGAAAATAGTTTTCTTTTTTCACTGAGACCACGTGCTTTAAGTTAATATGTTAAAAGAGGCAGTAAATGTTAAGTAGATTTTTTTTTCAATAAGTAACGTGACATAATCATGATAGTATCATGTCTTTTTTTGTTCTTTTTTGTAGTTGCCAATATTAGGAAAAACAACAAACGAACGGTCATAAGTCTGCAAAACATGATTAAAATCACACGTGCAATGCCACTTAGCTATAGGGAAAGTTTTGTTTTTTAAATCTTTTGCGGGATATAAAAGAACATTAACATAGAAGGCATTGTCTCCTTTAAGCTACATACTTTCACGCGGGATATTGACATGCGATGATACACAAATTCAATATTCAGTGGGTTTGTTTCCTCCGGAATTCGTAAATTTGAAACTTCCTTACATTCCTCTTAATTTCAACCAAAGGTAGAAATGAACAAAGTGTGATTTCATTGATTTCGTTTTTTTTTCTTGAAAAAGTTTTTGTTTTGTTTTTAGTGCGCATATACTTATGTCGAAGCAAAAAAAGTATATAAAATTAATGTATTGCATTATAATATAATGACTTATAAAGTGGGACATACGTTATCTTTTAAGAAATTAACGCATATAAATTTATTAAAATCATAATTTAAGCCATTTAATAAGGTACTTGCCACAATCGATTCCGACGTCCTGCGCATGCGTACAGTCATTTGTCAACCAAGGGCTGGATGTACAAAATTGTACGTCTTTTTCTGTACCTGAACATTGAAGTTCGTCTATCATAATAGGTCCTGAACCCTGACCGTAATGCGCACCTGTGTATACCTTCCTGTTAAAAAAATTCTGATTGTAAATAAAACATCTATAAACCGAATTTCATGTCTTAAAATTAAGGGGGTATTTTATATAATTTTCGAAAAGAAACAACAACTCCGAACTTCAGAACCAAAATATGAAGGGAAATATATATAAGAAATGATTCGGCAAATATAATGATAATTTAAAGTTTAAAGAGACTATTAAGCAAAACAATCGATCAATAAGTAACAGTTTGGACGCAACTCAGTTTTGACCATTAAGTGTCCTTGTAGCATGAATAGATGGGAAACGGAAGTCGAGTTCTACCTCGTAATTACCATGCAGGTTAAACAAGCCAAGTTTGCGTTTTTGGAAAATTAGTATAAAATATATTTAAGCATATGCATACAATTTAATTTCTGGACAATGTTAAATATATTTCACACGTTACTTGACTAGTAAACTTCTCAATTTCTCAAAACAGAATTATACTTGAATTTATAGTTATTCACCAAAATGTTCTAAGGTTAAATATTCATAATTTTCATATTTAACACTCTCAAATACACCTACATATACAAGATGCGTAAGCAAACAGAATATCAAGCAAGACATTCAATAGAAAGTCTCAAATTGTTTAATAAAAATTGTATCCGAATGCGCTAACTTAAAAATCATTACCTTGTTATTCCAAAATTGAACCCCATTTGGTTACAGATGACGTCAGCACCTGTGACGTCAAATTTGTCCGAACAAACGGTTCCCCATTTTCCTTGATAGTAAACCTCAACCCTGCCCTCTGTCGGAGAAGACCCGTTCACTAATCTAATTGATGAACCTAATGTATATAAATACACGAAAATATCAGTTCTCTTTTCCCCTGGCTTATTACCAAAAGTCAGCGACACAATTGACCTTTAGACAATGATTATAAATTATCATTCCCTCTAGGAAAAAAACATATTCAGATAGTCCATGACAAGGCCTATCTCTTTGATCTACTTCCTGCTTACTATCTCATATCTTGTAACTGAAGTACATCAGTATCGCAAAGGAAAGTTTCCAAATTATAAGCAAGACAAACTATATCGCAAAGGTGAGTTCTAAATTAACAACAAGACAAACTATATCTATAAAGACTTGTCCATTTTTTAAGATCTAGACAAAACCATTTATCACTTATTAGAGAAAAATTCAAATGAGTGCCGACTGAATAGCGAAAAGTTCAGACCATGGTAAGGCAGTAGGGTAAAATTAAACGATTAGAAAACTTAAAAACCAACCGCAGTCAAGACCAACATCTTCATTATGTCGACACTGACTGTCCAGCCAGGGTCTAGATTTACACTGGACAATATCTGCTTCATTCCCGACACAATCTAGGTCATCAATCACCACCCTGCCGGTACCCAATCCATAGGCAGTATTACGTTTCACTGGATCTAATCTAAAATGTTATCAAATAATATCATCATGACTTACCGACAGACCGTTCGAGTCAGACTGTGTGCGAGTTCATTATACAAAACAGCGATATATCACTTCGGAAAGAAATGTGAAAATTAAGTGTATTATGCCATTTATAAAAAAGTATGAAAAGTTTTTCATTACATATACTGTATATATACGTTTATTTTTAATCTTAATATACATGTATATAGATAATTGGTAAACAGCGTTACACTAACAAGTGAAGTTTTGCAATTGTTGTTTTTAAAGATGGTTATAAACAGTATTTATGTCTTATTTAAGTCAAATGTAAAAAGCTAAATCATAATAATTATTTTATTTTTTATACATGTAGTACTTAACAGTTTATACTAAAAGCGTCAGTGTAATATAACGCCTCGTACCTTATGACTTACAAAGGCCTTTTTACAACCAACAAAAGGTAAATTTACCCGATTCCATATGGGTATCCCAGTTGCCTACATGCTACCATGGCATCATTTTCATCAAACGTGGCATCGCAAACAGTGCCCCAATGTCCCTTGTAGAAGACTTCAAGGCGACCATTGTTAGGTGTTGTGCCATTCACTAACCTTACCAAACTTCCTGCAAGAAAAATCTTGTTAATGTTGCTGTTGTTGATGATGATGTTTTGTTATCACATAAAGTACTATATAATATTTTATAAAAACAATGTTAGATAATTAAAAGTCTGAAAAAATGAAAGCATTCCGTGCGTTTTAGTTATGCTGATTGGCTTAATTATAATAAGCTTAATTATACCTTATTTGCATACGCCCTTCTAAAAATAATATGACGTCATCCAGACCATAAATCGCATACAGACCGGCTACCCAGTCCAAAATTCTTATAGACTGGATGACGTCATATTAAATTTAGAAGGGAGTATTATTATTATAATTTGAAAGCAACATATAGTAAAAATGACAGCAACAAAAGGGATGAAAGGATTTAGATTTGGTATAATATAACAAACTAAACATGGCCTTGACGGCAATATGCTGCTCCTTCTTCAGTGTGACGAACCGTAAACTTGCATATTGCCCTCAAGGCCGTGTTTTATTTGTTACATAATGAACTCAGACATGTACTTTAGTATTCCCTCAACAAGTTAATAAGTGCTGTAAAATCAGTCATTGATGGCACATATGTATGTGCCCTTAACACCAACATAAAATTAAATTTTCTAAATTTCAAGAGTATTGTTGTAAAGTTTTTATTTTTAACAAATTACCACATTGCACCCCGACATCCTGGCTGTGTGTACAAGAATTGACAAACCAAGGTCTAGATGTGCAGTCTGCAATATCACTCTCACTTCCGGTGCATTCTAGCTCATCTATTATAATATTGCCCGCTCCAGAGTCATATGTGGAGTTACTTCCGGTTAGAACTGTCACAGCTCTGTTGAAATAAAAATCTTTAATTTCAAGTTCATTGCCCTGTTTTAATGGTATGTTTCTGTTACTGAAACAGCCAATTAATCTGCAATATCAATCTTGCTTCCGGTGTATTCTTGCTAATCTTTTATCATATTTCCCTGTCCAGTGCCAAACAATTTATAGAGTAATTTCCGGTTTAAAGTTCATAAGTTTGAAGAAAGGCAATTACGAACATAAACTAACTTGTTAACTTTTTTGGCTCACACGAGTTGCTGGGAAAATGCGAACTTCATAACGACCAAGAATGGCCATGCTTAAACGTTTTAAAAATGCGAATTATATAACGGTCAAGAATGGCCTTGAAACCGTCTTATAAATCATAAAATTATATATATTTTAGCACTCAAGAGCAATTTTGAAATACATGACAAATATTATATACAATAATAAGAGCAGGTATACGTACGTCCCCTCCCTTTTGTAACCAAGCATTTGGCAGACGACAGTCGCGTCTCTGACGTCAAACTTGTTCTCACATACTGAATGCCACTGACCTTTAGCGAAAACCTCGAGACGACCTTCTGCCGGAGAGACACCACCTGTCAGGCGTATTCTTGTCTGTGGATCTGAAGAATAAGTTTTTAAAAGTATAATCAATTGCAAATTACGTCATATTATGACTGACTTCATTAACTCTTTCTTTCAAACTTCTGAAAAACTACAAATCTAGACAAGCTCTTTTTATTTCCAATATTCAAAAATGATTTGATATACATAATTGCTTTATCACCAGTTCTTAATAAGTATTTCCTTACAGTATGACAGGTACCATTAAATAACTGAAAAGGGAAAGAAAGAAGAAAACCGTTATAGTTTGTACTGCAGAACGATTTGATTTTATTCCTTTTCTTGCTTAACAATCATATTTTTGCTTTTATTTTGGAAAGGTCAATAAAATGTTACCTGAGCGTAATAATTACCATATAATTTCCTTTTGTAAACGTATTTCCTTTCATGTTTAAGAAACGTTAAGTGGTTCTACTTTGTGCTTGCTTGTGTATGAAATAATGCAAAGAGGGGCAACTTAAAAATCACAGGTAAGGTAATATGATGACTCCACAGCTTTACTGGTAGAGATATACCTCAGATGCCCCTCCTTGCATTATTTCATACACGAGCAAGCATTTTTAAAATCCAAACTAGCCTAGAAAGGATACTAAAAAACGAAATATCAAATGCACTGTTTGACTCATAAGGTCTTCTTCAACGAGATAAACCATAAAAAGTCGCCATATTAACCTTTACACTTCCGGTATGACATAAAACCAACAAAAACAAGAAAAATCGCGCATGCGCGCACAACTCACAACAAGCTACCCAGACGTCTTCGTCACGTGTACAATCAGTTCTCCCCCACGGCTTCGTCATACATTGTACAATATCGTGCTCGTCCCCAGTACACTCCACATCATCTATCCACTGAGCCGCGGTAGTACCACGCCCTCCTGTATAGATGTACCCCCTGGATATGGTAAAATAATCATTTAAATTCTTACCATTTAAAGCCGCATAACTCCATCAAACAATATCAAGAAAATCAAATTTGAGAAAAACGCTACTAAGATTTAAGAAAAGTAAAAAGATTCAAGATTCAAATGGTAATTTACAAGTTATGTGCCATCAATGACTGACTTTTACATCACTTATTACCACATGTATTCTGTCTGACTATGGTTTGGAGTAACTTAAGATAAACTTGATAGTGCTGATATAACATGTTGGTCTTTGTTTTAAGATCAGGATGGTCAGGCAAACTGGTTTTTATGTTACAACTTATAAATATTCAAAATTAAAGGTCTATTAAGCACCCAACACTTTTGTTTTTAAAAACAATTGAGATATCATGTTATAGTTCTAAAAAAAAACAAACAAAAAACAACAAAAAAAAACGATATTTATTGACCATAAAGCTGAAACATCTTTTGCTTCTTATGCATTTTGGAATTTAGTACAGTTGAAGTGATTTAATATTATGTATGGGAGTCAAAATAATACTTTTTTCTACTTTAATGATAAAACATATCACATTCAGGGTGTAAGTCACCAAACATGCTTTAGAGCCATTATTAAAATACATGTACGTAGAATAAAACAGAGTTTTCTGACGTTTTTTCTTTCTTGAAGAAATAAAGTCATTTTTTAGGAATGTCCAAACCTGTTTCAATACCACCATATCACGTTTGGTCGTTTGAAATAGTTATTAATACTTTGATTTGATTTAAAGACTTCTCAACGAACTGTCTATTTTACGATGAAGCATAGAAATGTTTGTAGCTTTCTAGTAACAAACTTTACAAAACTACGGAGTAGTATACGGGCCGTCAAATTCAAGACCGATTTTCATGTTCAATACTTCTTTTTGAGAAAATTGCTTTGTGACTTGTCTCGTATATCTTGTAAAATACCAAGCGGGTCTCTCTTAAGTAGTACTAAAGTATGATCACTAGTATTATAATAATATTATTTAAACAGTAATTTACGCGTTCCCGTATCCTAGTGACGAACAAACAACAGAGGCAGCTTTTCTGTCAAAACCATCATCACAAACCGCACCCCATTGGTCATTGTAGAAAATTTCAAGTCTCCCCTCTCGCGGGTCATTTGTTCCTGTTAGCCGTATGTTTGATGCTGAAATTAATACATTTGTATTCTTGTATTTCTCGGTCACAAACTGTTTTCCTATTTCAGCTGGATTAATTAATAACAAATGCTATTTTAGTAAGGCTAAGGTTTATCGTAAACCTTTTGTTCAATATTAATTCCAACGGTGCAATCTATATAACGAACTGAAGTAAGAATAAAAACTTTACATACTTAAATTTCATCGTGACTTTGATATTTTTTTTAATTCTTTTGGCGTTATTTCCCTACTATTGATTTTAATGAAGCAGGCGGAAAAATGGTAAAATATGCAGTTAATGGCTTGAAGACGACAATGTTGTACTGGAAATGCATCCATTATAACATATTAAACCTTTGCCAACTGGTGAATCTTTAAACAACCATCAAACAAACTGAACACTGAAAGCCTTACAAGTCTCAATAAGTCTATAAAATTGAATTGCGTTTAGTGAAACATCAACTTCAGCTTAATCCCATGATTGCATCAGCATAATACATGTATATTAAAACATATTTTCTCGATATATTTCTTATCAATACTTTACCGAATATTAAATTTCTTTATGTTAATACGTTGCAACGTTTTACTTAATTTGTTCTAAATTTTATTAAAATATTTATATTATTTTTTTAAATACAAACATACTGCAATCCACGCCGACATCATGAATGTGCGAACATGTTGACGTTTCCCAAGGACTGGAGCGACAAAGGTGAAGATCATTTTCTGTACCCACACATTGTAGACTGTCGATCATAACCAAACCACTCCCCTGTCCATAATATCCCCCTGTGTGAACCACAGCATTTCTATATTTGTATTGAAATAATTTTTATTATAAGTTTTTCATTTTGCTATATAATAAAAGCAAATATTAGAGGGGCGTCAGTGGCAAATTGGTTAAGGTCGATGTCTTTAAATCATTTGCCCCTAACCGCTGCGGGTTTGAGTCACACCAGGGACTTTGTATTCATTCATGTAATGAAGCTATTCTAATGAAGCTAGATTACGGAACTATGGTGGTTTCTACCTAGGTGTCCGTTCTGGCGTGAAATAATGCACGGACTAGGTGTCCGTTCTGGCGTGAAATAATGCACGGACTAGGTGTCCGTTCTGGCGTGAAATAATGCACGGATGAACACATGAGGTCGCCATATGACGTTTACAGTGTTTGTGCGATGTAAAACACAGCCAAAAAAAAACAAAGAAATGGACGGGTTTTACAAGTATCGGTGTAATTTCGGCAACATACACGTACTAAGTCTTTATATTAAAAGTCATTAAAAAGTTTATTTATTTATTATTTAATTAAGTGACACTATTCTGCTCAGCTGCATGCTTGTGTCTGAAATAATATATTTAGTAGTACCTAATATCTTCCTCTACCGAAAATGTGATCTTTACAGTATCTACTGTGTATAATGCTGTGCGACGCAGTGGTTTATACATCCAAGATGGCGGATGGGAAAGAGATTATCAGGCATGAAAGCTTTTCATTTCTTATTTAAGACAACATATTCATGCAAGTGGTTGTATTGAAAACAAATTTGAATTCCTTTATAATGAATGCGTTTACTTTGCTAATTTCCATATATTTACAAAGATAACTAGTTTTAAACATGACCAAAATAGCCCAATACCAACGCTTTCGTCTATCAGTTTGACTTAAACCGAACTTCCACGAAATAATCGAGAGAGGAAGAAAAGGAGCATAAATATTTCTAAAGCATACGGTGAACCGAAGAAATATCCCAGAATTCTACACACAACATTGGCTTCCCGGTCATCAAAGTCCGTGTCGCAAACTGTTCCCCAGTTGCCATGGTGATATACTTCCAAACGTCCAGATGTCGGAGAGCTTCCGTTTAACAATTTTACCAAATCATTTGCTGAATTAGATAAAGCCAACGAACATGATGTGAATGTGTTCATGTTTTTAATTATTTTGGTAATTTTGCACACAAAAAATGAGTCGCATGCGCGTTATTATCACTTGAGAGGCGGGGTGACCGAGTGGTTAACGCGTCGGACTAGTAATTTAAGGAGTGGTGACCGCGTGGGTTCAAACTCCATTAGGGGCAAGCCGTTGTTTACATTCATTGCTTAGGAATGGTTGGTTCGAGGAACGGACCCGAGAGTGTTTCAATAAGCTTATAGCTTCCAACAAAATCAAACTAAAATATATTTGTATATTATCTTCTAGCCGTTGGAATATATATAAAATTGCTGCTGTATATTTAATCACCAGGTATATCTAAAACCAAAAAAGGGGGTGGAATTTATGTACTTCACCTTTAGATAAATCCAACTGCATTCCAAGCGGGAAAGATAGCCCATGATTTTGCTGGAAACCATAGAAAATGGCGCCAAATTCAACATCCGATGTATGAGTCAGGTTAACAAGAGTATCACTGTTTGCGTTTGTTACATTTATTTCAAACACTGCAAAACTGTTCCGGTGTGTTCCGATCAATGCATCGTATCTATTTTTAGCAATAACTGTTCTGTTGTTCATTCGCAATCCATCTAATTGATCTGATTGAATCATCACTTTCACAAAGGCTTGTTCCAAACCAGCTTTACTGACAAAGTTGAAATGGTCCATGTACTGGTTCATAGCCGGTATAAGCGTCATTGACGGACTGCATTTGGAGTTGGCTCCACTACTTCCGGTGAAATGGGCAACAAGAACTGGACGACTTGCACCTACAGCCACAACTGGATTCCTATTACTATCAACCGAGTGCGTTTGGTCTGTGAACTCTTCAGAGTCTAAATATTCTGTCGACTCAGTTCTTCCGCGTCTAAATTTAACAGTTGTACCATCATCACGTCCTAGAACTCTAATCACGTTCACGCAATCGTCAACAAGAGGCACAATGAATGATGCCTCCCATGAATTAACTGTCGTCATTTGCTCAACAAGAAAATCACATTTCCCATTATACATCGGTATTTCCGAGCACAGACTTCCGCTAAAAACAGCCACCTTACCTTCAGCCTTTACGTAAGTTCCGGTAAGATCGCCATTTCCCTTCAGCTGCCACGTTTGAAATGTATCTAAAATTTCATGAATCACTTCACCATCGGTGTAAACAAGCCCGTTATGAGTTACATTTCCTTTTGTTTTTAACGTAATTGATAGTTTATTCCTATCGGATGCGCTCGTTATAACGAACTCACTATTTGTTTCCTCGCCATAGGACATGACCATATATTCGGATGACAGGGCCCGGATAGGTAAAACGGTGAATCCACTCATGTGAGGGGCAGATAAATCGACCACATGCATCGAGATCGGATGATCAGATTTCACGCGAATTCCTTTGAAGGATATTGCTGTACTTGATCCTCTAAGGGCAGAGTCGAGTTTAATTTCTGTGACCCCTGTTGTGACCTTGTAAGTCTTAGATAACCCAACAAACGGTGCCTCGACTGTAACACTTGTTGTGACATTGCTTAAAATTTGTATAGTTGGTGGATCAGATGAGCTTTGTTGGAGAACAGCTATCAGAAACTCTGTCCCTGTTGTGTCTGAAATTGACTCAGATGCAGATTGGGGCAAAAATATGTAAACGTTTTAAAATATTATGTACGGTAAATACATGTATTTATGTCACATTGTGCTTATTATACAGAAACTTGAAATCAGATTAATTCAAAGCTATCACTTAGTTCTGCAATAGCATCCAAATATGATACATAAATGTAATCATAATTATTATTTGGTAATTATAAGACATAGCCTTCTATGCTTCCTAAGTATAATCATAACAATATCGTAAGTTAGTTGCCGAAATACATTTTACGATAATGTTCGTACAGTGTAACCTCTACAAAACGACCGTCTGTAGAGCAATTACCCCTTGACAGCAATGGTATCATTTCTACCCAATGTAATAATTAACAATTACATTTGACCCTTCTAGAGTAACACATATCGGTAACAACTGTAATATATGTCTCCCAAAGGCTGTTGATCTTGAACGATAAAATTTATTGTTATTTATTTCGTCATGGTATTGTAATTCCATTTAATACACTTGTTACTATATAACAAAATTGCCTATGATTTCAACTGATTATGAGTGTCATGTGACCTATTATGAGTTTGCGGCCCGGGGCCGAGAACTAGTTATCAGCCCGCAGATCATGTGCACGTGCACAAACTGAAACAATGACGTCATATTTTACGTCATCAAACAGTTAACTGTAAAAGTGAAGTAGGTTTTCAGCACGAATTGCTTTATTTTTATTATGAGAGCTTAAGCGTATTTATTACTAACACAATTTTGTTACTATTGAAATTTGAAGAAATAATACGACAAATTCATTCCGAAAAAAATGGAAATAAAACTTGCTTCTCGATTCTACTGCTTTGAACACACAAACAGTAAACATTTCTGTACAGAACAGTAGAAGAGTAGACAAGAATTTCAACGAAAGAACTTTGTTTTTTTTTTTTTTTTTAAATGCTACTAGATCTATTAGATCTACCAAGTGTATTAAAGACATTAATACACGTCAGAGTAGGGCCGGAAGGTGATAATCGGCCCTGAACGAATAATGGCCCTCGGGCTAAAGCCCTCGGGCCCATTATTCATTTTGCGGGCCGATTATCACCTTCCGGCCCTCTCCTGCCGTGTATTAACCTCTTAATTAATACAGGTCCATCTGTTCATGAATGTAAATACACTTGTTACTATATAGATATATAGTAACAAAATTGCCTATGATTTCAACTGATTATGAGTGTCACGTGACCTATTATGAGTTTGCGGCCCGGGGCCGAGAACTAGTTATCAGCCCGCAGAACATGTGCACGTGCACAAACTGAAACAATGACGTCATATTTTACGTCATCAAACAGTTAACTATAAAAGTGAAATTAGGTTATGAGCACGAATCGCTTTATTTTATTTATTATGAGAGCTTAAGCGTACAAACACATTTTTGTTACTATTGAAATTTGAAGAAATAATACGACAAATTCATTCCGAAAAAAAAAATAAAACTTGCTTCTAGATTCTACTGATTTGAACACACACAGTAAACGTCTCTGTACAGAACAGTAGAAGTGTACTGTAGACAAGAATTTCAACGAAAGAACTTCAAAGTATTTGTGTGTTGTTTTTTCTTAAATGCTACTATTAGATCTACCAAGTGTATTAAAGACATTAATACACGGCAGAGTATGGCCGGAAGGTGATAATCGGCCCTGAAATGAATAATGCCCTCGGGCTGAAGCCCTCGGGGCAATTATTCATTTTGCGGGCCGATTATTACCTTCCGGCCCCTCTCTGCCGTGTATTAATCTCTTGATAAAAACAAGAAAAGGAAATAGTTATATTACCTACACGTGCAGATTCAACAACCGTGGAAAATATTGTTCCAACTGCTAATAAAACATATATATTCTGAAAATAAGATAAATAAAGACAATAACAAAAACATCTATGGTTTTATTTTTAAGCCTGAAGTAAACCTTCACATATTTTTACATTTACTGCGTGCATTAAGTGCAACAAAATTCTTATCACTTACGTCACATTTCTTATATTATTTCCATCATGCTACAGTTTAACTTAAGATATAAAGTCTAGATGTGTAGAGGAAGGAATTCAATAAAAATATCTTCATAATGATAGTATTTTACACAAGAAGATATAATTGTTTTTTTAACTCCATCAAAATTCCTTCGTGTCGTTTGATTGTGACTGGGTAAATTCTACTCGAAAACAGTGCAATACTTTCATGAAAGCGTTAATACCCTGTGTGCATTTACTAATATATGAAAGCCTAAACGTATCACTTTATATAAAAATAGTATTCCGTTGTCGCACATATAACTAGAACGTACCCTTTTATATTATACTAATATCCCATTGTCGCCTTTATAAACAATATGTATACATGTACTTTATATTATACTAATATCCAATCGTCGCCCATATACGTATACTTATATATATTACTAGTATTCTATTGTCGCCCATATAACCAGACCGTATCCTTTTATATTTAATACTAATATTCCATTGTTGTCCATATAACCAATATGTATACATGTACTTTAAATTACACTGGTTATCTATTGTCGCCTATATAACAAATATGTAGATGGCACAGGGTGAAAAATGTGCAGCAGTTGATCGGGACCCTCGAAATACCGTACCGCGGCTCTATCGACTGAGCTATCACTATCTCCCCTAAATAGTGAACAACTCTCTAAACCGTGACATAAACTTAATATTATACTAATATGCCATGCAGTGTCGCACATAAAACTAGTACTAATACTTTATATTATACTAGTAGTTGGTGTATTCCAAAATAACCAATAAGTATACTTTATATTCAAAACGAGTGAACAAAATATGTACAATAAGAACACCTTGTCGCATAACGATTTGTTCCAGATTTCATGTATCTACCTTAAACCATCACAACATTGAAAATCTTTTTTTATTAAAAAAATCTTGTAATTAACAGACAAATTTCCAATGAACTAAATATATCGTTATTTCCATGTATTTGAAAGTAATTACAACCTTAGAAAGATTCATTTTAAACAAAATATGTAAGTTAACTATGTATATAATTACCAGATACATTTTCGTTTTCGCCATATAAAACTATGTACTTTATTCCTTATTTCTTATCAACACAAATTTAATAATATGTTACTGATAAGATATTGTGAGGTTAAAGACCCATGATGCACTAATTTTGATGACGCATTGCAAACTTTGAGTGAATATTACGAGCTGTATAGTGATAGTGAAGTTCATGAACAAGTATAGGATATTTAGGGTTGTTTTTTTTTTTCTATAAACACAGGATTTATTTTCATCGAGTGGTATGAAAATGAATATTTCATGAGTGGCGGTAGCCACAGAGGGAAATGTCAGGGAAATATGATAATTTTTATAAAACAAAATGAAAATGAATCCTGTATATAGAAAAAAACTCGAAGTTTCCGTTTATTACATACCTTTTTTACATTATTATTTGAGATTTCCCTTTAAATGTTGTGTATTGGATGAATTTAGAAGAGAGTAGTCCAGCAAGACACCAGTGAAAATACAGAAAATATGTTTCAATGCAGTTGAAAAATACATTTTTACAGTTAAAATACGGAGAAAATGTAAAATACGCATTTTATTTTATCAAAATGAATATTTCTCAATATTTCATTTATAAGTTTGTAATAAATAAACCAATAGGAAGATAGTCTCAAGTGAAATATTATTTTTTCTGTATGGCCATGACGCCATGATATTTTAAACTACTCTACTTTACCCTTGTTACGCTAAATATCTTAAATGGACTTCATGCATCATTACATCGTGACAAAATCGTTGGCTTTTTTTAGCGAAATGAAAAAATGCATATTATATACAATGTATATGTCAGTACTAAATGGCGAACGATGTATGTAAGGATGTGCCAGCTTATCATGGTTTTCACCGGTCGCATGGGAAGATGCAGTTGGCACCAGAAGAAGAGTTAAATGTACTTATATTGTGTTGTTAGATTATATGGTGTTTTGTGCACTGGTGCCCTGAACTGACTAAAAGAAGCAACATGAAAATGTCACATAGCATTTCAATTTACTTTAATTCGTATTTCACCATGTCATGTGTCAAAGTTTACATTACACAGATTCTATTGCTGTAATAAGACGGATGTCGCGTGTCTTTAAAGAAAACTATGTGAACTACAGAGAACGTGCCGGTGTACACTCAAATTTCGATAGTTCAGCTAGTTTAATAACATGCAGTTTTAGATAACTACAAAGTGCAACGTACTTCTCGAAAAATTCTACATATGTTCTTAATATTATTCCTTAAGTTTCGGGAATTAAGCTAAATATTAAACTCGCTCCTTCTGGTTTTGAGCCTTTTCAGGTTACATTGAATGGAAGAGATGTGGTCTTTAGTCTCTACTTAAGTTTTATACATTGACGCTGTTTAATTAATTTCAGAATTATGAATTTTTTAAAGTAGGTATTCAATATAAGTGCCCTAAGAACAACCAACACAAGTTTAGAATACGCATTCTGTCTCCGTTTCTGTTCGTCAGAACACCCGTCTGGTGATTACATCACTGAGCTGGACAAGGGAAGTAACTGCTACGGAGGGCTTCTCTTAAAGAACATTTTTTTTTTCAAATTAGATATCCGGTATAATGATAATTATGCTAATTGATCCTAAAGAACCAGTAAATAAATACCGTTTAATACGACCGTCATACAAACCATCATCAATGCTATCAGGAAAACATCAATTCCGAGCACTTAAATCCTCAGGGATAGTGCCAATTCTTAGTTTTACAAGGCTAAACTCCCATGTGTGTATTATATGCTTAATGAGGATCCAGCAGCCCATTCAGGCATCCTGACATGTCATCATTCATTACCTTTAAAGGCTGTCATATGCCAAAAGGTGACCTATAAATTTTGAATTCAGTAACACTGAATATATCTTAATACATGTATGTATGTATGTATGTATGCAAGTCGATTTTTGGGATGTTTACTATTTTGATGCACGGGAGGTCAATACTTAACGCTCAATTCAGAAAAAAGCTAAAGAACAACAAGACAAACACGTGGTACTTGCGCTTATCTGTGGGCTATGCAATTAAAATGCATTGATAATACATGTCCATTAAAAGAATACTCAAAACTTACCCTGCAATGGTCACGTCATTTTTAGGTAATGGACCTATTAGTTGGGGGAAATCACTGTGTGCAGATGTAGAGATAAATTGGACAGACAAGGGCCAGCATTCATTTACTACGTGTAACAGTGATGCTTTAAACAAAAACAACGAAATGCTTTATGTTATTTTCTTGAGTTAACAAAGACATGTACACATTTTAATACATCAACAACAAAATGAAGTACTTACTTATACATAATTGATAAACAAACATGAAATATTGACTGACAATAAATGACGAATGAATAAAATCTGACAAAAATGACAAAGAAATGAAATCGGACAATATTTTTTTTTTTGGAAAAGTAAACACAATAATTGTTAGCGATATAAAGCCACGCAATAATTATAATAAGTATCAAATAATAATACCGACTTCCCGTGATAATTATTGTAAATGTACGAAATTCACTAGTACAGTCAAAGTATATAATCACACAGCGTTAGTAAAATAAAAGTAATTTCTCAATTTCGCAAACAAAATTGTCTATAATTATCTCAACATTCATACGATCTAGTAAAATAAAATTTAAAAAAAAATGTTTATATAACGGGGCGCTTTGTAACAAACATGCAACACACTTCAATGTTACTCCAAAGATATAAAGATTATCAACATTTCAAACCTGCTTGTCGAAAAGATTTTTTACACATTTAAGTTCCGTATATCATGATAAAAGTGCTTAGAAACTTGCCAAAAGTCATGTTTACACCATTTTATATTAAAGGGACTCCACTGAGTTTTTTTACACGACATTACTGGAGGCATTTGTTTTCGACATTAGGATTAATGCTCCATTTGATGTATGTCTAAACCAATAGCTGGTTTGCAAAATTTCAGATCAGTCGCTCTCTGTTTTTCCAACATAACTATTCTACTAGTGAAAAATTACCCAAACCAGAAAAAAATCATATTAGACTTAGAATACCACAAAAATGCCACTTTCAATTTTTTTCTCATAATTATCATTTGCATATCTTTCATTTTAAAGCAGCCTTCAGATTTTATTTTTTGTTGGAAAAACAATTCTGTGTTGTTTCAAACTATTCTTGGAAAAATGCATCATATCGCTGTAACGCGTTCTCTATGCGCGACAGTGACTTTCGTGTCTAAAAATAGAAGATCGGGAATTTACGTATTTACGTGAAGAGAGCGGATCGGTAGATTAGATGTATCCACAGACACTTGGGGTTTGGAGCTCAAAACGCCTTTAAAATCCAAATAAAATGCATATTTGTCAATCCCAGGACGTGTACTGATCATATATATCAAAAAAATCTTAATATATGCCGTTTTGAAAAAAAATCATATTTCAACAACTATAATAATACACAAGATAAAAATGTTCGCCGGAAAAAATCTGCACCCCTACCGTCATAATCACCATGTATTTTAATCCATTTCCAATATTTTCACATAATCCTTTGGTCCATCGACACAGAAGATATAATTCTTCACGATGATGGTCAATTTTAAACTTCAACGGTAATATAAACAACGCAACAGCCGAAATAAACATCAATATTATCGCCGTTTTTTTTCCAACTACAAAATCTTTCGATAAATTCAATGGACCAGACGGCTATGAACGAAGCTATCCGATTATGTGGCCCCAGCTTTGCCGTGTGCAAAATGCGCAGCGCTTTTAAGTTTGGGAACCACATAATCGGATAGCTTCGTTCATAGCCGTCTGGTCCATTGAATTTATCGAAAGATTTTGTAGTTGGAAAAAAACGGCGATAATATTGATGTTTATTTCGGCTGTTGCGTTGTTTATATTACCGTTGAAGTTTAAAATTGACCATCATCGTGAAGAATTATATCTTCTGTGTCGATGGACCAAAGGATTATGTGAAAATATTGGAAATGGATTAAAATACATGGTGATTATGACGGTAGGGGTGCGGATTTTTTCCGGCGAACATTTTTATCTTGTGTATTATTATAGATGTTGAAATATGAAATTTTTTCAAAACGGCTTATATTAAGTTTTTTTGATATATATGATCAGTAAATGTGCTGGGATTGACAAATATGCATTTTATTTGGATTTTAAAGGCGTTTTGAGCTCCAAACCCCAAATGTCTGTGGATGTATCGAGGGGTTTCCTTATTGTTAATGTATTTTATTGGCGGCAATTTTCATTTTCCACCCTTAAAATTAATTCTTTTGATTTGACAATTATATGAAACGATTTATCTGAAAAAAGCATTATTTATTCTTTAGAAAAGTCAGGGTTCTTTGACGTGAAAGACTCTGGAAAAGCCGATGGCTGTTTTTAGTGCCCCGGATGTTCTTTGTAAGGAATTCAAATTTATACTTTTAGTCTTTTGGGCTTTAGTGGAGTTCCTTTAACATTATATTTGTAAGAAAGTGATGAAAATATGTACGTTAACTTCCGGTCATTATTGATTGGAAGATAGCACAAGTTTTGTTTTCATTTTTTAAACCAGAAATGCATTCATTGTTCATGATTTTCAAAAATATTTAAATATAAACATGCCTTAAGTTACATGTAACACATAATTCCAAGTATAGATTTTTAAAAGTAATATTTTACCGTATAAATACTCTTTATTTCCGCTTTTCAGCAATTACAACACATACAACATTAAATATATATGTACAAACGATTTACATATGATACAATATTATGACAAATGTGCATGTATATATAATTAAACAGACATAATTAAGGTAGAATTAAGTTCCTTAATTTCATTTAAACTGGCATTCAATTTCAGCTGAGCGTGTCGCAAGCACTACCTTAGGGGACGCAGAGAGTTTTTGCCAGGCAGATTTTATCTGATCTTGCGCATGCGGATATGTTTAATTTATACTGTTTTAGCATAAGAACACATTTATATATTTGTTTACATATTTCATATTTCAATTTCATTTGAGCTATCATACTGATAATGCAATGTAATTATATATGATTAAAATGCTCAGTATTCAACCTAGTATCACACATCTTACCGAAACGAAATATAAGCTATGTAAATTAGGCAATACCGCTTAAATATTTTCCGTTATTGAAGTACTCGTGTTTATTTAGATAAAACGCTTAGTTATCAAAAACTAAACAATCGTATATAAATTTACAAGCACTTTGTTTAAGATAGTTCTTAAAAACGTCTCGCTGTTACATCCTTTCATTCACGACTTTATTGTCTATCAACACTATTAAGGAAAGCTGTTCGAGTCTTTTTAAGCGAAATACAATTTGAGATTACATGTAGATTTAGGTCACTTGTTTAAGACCACACTTTTTGCATGTTTTTACATCACTTTGCTTTGCTTCAACAACAACTTTAGCAGTACATAATGTATGTTTTACTGAATTAAGAAAGTCGGAATTTCTCCATAATATTAACATGTATATTTTATTTACATGCTATGATTTGAGCACCCGAAATGTTTTGAAAATTTGAAAATAGTATTAATACTATTTTCAGCAATTCTATTTTTTGTGCTTTGTCTGTTAAGCTTATTCTAGAACGACGTTTATATAAACATTAAAAATGTTTCAAATGGCGAATGTTTAAAACTCTGTGAAAAATAAAACGGTATATATTTTCGGTATATTTTTTTAAAAAAATATGATTTTTTCCCTAAACATTAAGATGTTGAAACATTATAAGCATTTTACAGGTTTGAAATGACTAGATGAAGCTATATTAAAAACTGAATACAAGAAATGGGAGAAAAAAAAAGAAATAAGACGACTTTGGAGTAACGCACGTGAAATGTTACATCTTTGTTACGCGCCCCTTTCGCTATGCTCGATACGTCCGAACTTTCTCCTTCACCACTGTTTCACACACTGGACATCGAGAAACCTTGTCCGAGCAGTTATGACAAAGTCTGTGATGTGCGCATGGCAGAAATAGAACATCCGGTTCCTCTTTGACACAAAGCATACATTGAACAATCCTTGACAGTCTTTCATGTTCAGCCGCTATTTCTTGTATATCTTTTGGAAGAGAGAAAAAGACATAACGAAATTATGTTAACCAATTAAAAACAGATTAAAGTGGAATTTAGTTTGTATATGTTTTATCATTAAAGTATTTTTTATGTCATTACACTTATATTTTGTTGAAAATGTTATATCATTACAGTATTTTTTTCCGATTAATAACGGCTTGGGAAATGTTATTTTACCCAGGGTGATATTTTTACTGTTACCCACAGACTTGTTACTATTTAGCATACCCATTGCATTTAAGTGTGGTTTTATTATTTTCAAATGTAAAACTTTTAATGGTTTTAGTTCTCTACTTTTACGAAACTTTAGGATTCCACTTTCTGGCCCGTTATGCAGCCCCGTTATGGATAGATAAGTCATACTCGTGTATAAATGCTATACATAATAAGTCAATGCGTTTTAGGGGTAGGTAAATACACCCCAAATTTAGCGGTCCAAAATGAAATCGGATGGAAGCCACTGATTGTTCAGCAATGAGACAACACTGCAGATTGTTAAATATGCATGATTCAAGGTCGAATTATAAACTATTTGAATTGAAATTGTTTGCCACCGTAGCAATACTTTAACATTTACAGTATCTTAGAAAGAAAGACATTAATAATAACTTTATACAAAAGTTTGATGCTTGTTTCTATGATCATTACACTAGTAATACGTTGACATTGACTTATTACAAACCCTGTGCATTTATAGTGTTTATAACAATGACTTATTACACTAGTAATACATTGGCATTGACTTCTTTCATTTGTAATACATTGACATTAACTTTTTTATACTTGTAATACTATGACTTTTAACACTAGTAATACATTGACATTGACTTTTTACACTAGAAATACATTGACATTGACTTTTTAGACTAGTAATATATTGACATTGACTTTTTACACTTGTAATACATTGACATTAACTTTTTATACTAGATATATATTGACATTGACTGTTTTACACTAGTAATATATTGACTTTTTACACTAGTAATACATTGACATTTACTTTTTTACACTTGTAATACTGTGACGTTTTACACTAGTAACACACTGACATTAGCTTCTTACACTAGTTATATATTGACATCGACTTTTTACACTAGTAATACATTACATTGACTTTTTACACTTGTAATACATTGACATTGACTTTTTACACTTCTTATACATTGAAATTGACTTATTGTACTTCAATGACATTGATTTATTATCCCTTTGCATTTAAAGTGTTTATATTGTAGCACGTTAACAATGAATTATTACTCTAGTAATTCATTAACATTTTAATACTTATCAAGAATCTTTTGCATTTATATTGTTTAAATATTAACACGTTGACATTTACTAATTATAAACCCATTGCATTTATGTTGTATAAAAAGTAACGCTTTGACATTTACTTATTACAAACCATTTGCATTCATTGTTTAAAAAGTAACACGTTGAAAAAACCTTTTGCATTTATATTGAAAATATAGTACACATTTACATTACAAACCTTTTGCATTTACAGTATATTGTTAATATAGTCATAAATTATCATTATATTATTACAAACCTTTTGTATTAATATTGTTTAAAAAGTTACACGTTGATATTCGCTTATTATAAACCTTTAACCTTATAAAACTTTTTTAAAGTTCAATTCATATACGCATTAACATTTACTCTAAATAATTTGCATATATATATATTGTTTAATCTGATTGAAGGATTCTAGATGTACTTATGTGTTCATTTTTTTTACTTTTCAAACAACTTGTCAGATATATATAACTACCTTCGGATTCATTCTGTGCTTCAGGTGTGGCGTTCGATCTATCCCGCGCGACATTTGTCCTATCTGGTGCGATATTTGTTCTATCTTGCGTGGCATTTGTCCTATCTGTTGCGGTATTTGTCCTGTCTTGCATGTCTAGGATAGTGTTCACAATCAATTCAACACTTGGGTTAGAATCACCTGTAAAAATTCAATAAATTTAATGCATTAATTTATTTTCTATTGCCATTTTCATACAACCGAAAATAGTTCGTCGTATGTTGTTATGCACCTGGTCGTCCGTCCGTCTATCTGTCTGTCCGTTTATTACCAATTTTGCATACGCTCTGTGTGTATATTTTGAACCGATGGAAAAAAATGAAAATACTTTGAAGAAATTTTACCATTATGAGATGCAAGCGCAGGTTTGACCTTCCTCGGGTCATTGCTAAGGTCACACATTGTGTATGCATTTCAAAATTTCGTTTCCGCTCTGAATCTTTTGAATCAAAAGAATGCAATTAAAACTATTTGGAAGAATGGTAAATAATAATGAGACGATGTGCAGTAGCAGGTTTCTAGGGGAAACGGACAAAAGCCCTCCCGGACAAAAGCCCTCCCCTCAAAAAATAACAAGGCGGACAAAAGCCCTCCCGTGAAAATGACAGGGCGGACAAAAGCCCTCCCGTGAAAATAACAGTGCAGACAAAAGCCCTCCCATGAAAATGACTGGGCGGACAAAAGCCCCTCCCGTGAAATTAACAAGGCGAACAAAAGCCCTCCCGTAAACAAAAATAAATATGTATGTTTGAATATTTGTGGTTTTTTTTTAATGCACTCAAATATTAAAATTGTGGCATATATCTCTTGTTGTTTTCAATTGGGCTAAGTATGTGTATGAGCTAGATTTACCTTCTATTCTGAATATACCTTCCTGAAATGTTTACCGAGGTAACTTTTTGCACGAATGTCGTTAAAACAAAGTCATTATTAAAAGTAATTGACTCATTACAAGGCACATTATAAATGTCTTTAACTTTTAATTTTAACTTCTTTTCATCATTTATTACTCTATTAACCCATTATTTCATGAGCATTTTGTGAAAAATGGCTGTTTTATTGAAAAGTCTCCCGTTACAAGTTGAAATTGCTATAAAACTATAAAAACTGCTTCAATACTTATCAAACTTGGCACAAATGTTGACTGGACAATTGCCTGCTCAGGCTTAAATTTCATGTTACCATGGCAACGAGGGGACATCTCAAAATTACCAAAAATCACTATTTTGCGTTGATTTTTTCCATCAAAATTGACTTGAGATAGAGTCAAATGCTTTTCAGCGTTGGTTACACATTACCTTATGATCGATCTGGGGTCATTTTTAGCCTCTCACAAGTCCAAAATTTTCTTGGCGATGACGGGGGACTCCGCCCCCTTCAAACCCCCAAACAGAAAGGAGGCACATCCCCATTCTTGCAACCCCCTGATGTATCTTTTGGTTGCAGGCCGCGCCGAAAAAGTGGTCACTTTTTTAAACAACATTTCTCAAACAAAAACAAGTGTTGGGGGCCTAAATAAGGCATTTTTTCACCATTTGAGACACCAAAAAGGGGGGGGGGGTGAAAAAGGCGTTAAAAGGCGTATATACATGTAAATATCGCATAATTGGTTAATATTAACATCACATAGGAGTAATCCTGTTTCAAGAGCTTCCTTATATCCAAATTGCCCCAGGACAGAGTCATCTGATTTAAATAAACTTTTTATCCTTAGAAAGACTGACACTTTTGCTAACATGTTCACACTAACACCAACTTAAAGTGTAGTCTATAATTCCGAGTGGGCACTTGACCATGGTATTTTAGCTTCATAAATAACTGGTTTAGTGGTGTTTGACATGTATGCTATGTGCACATTAATCTAAAATCTTGTAAAATATCTGAAAATGAAGATAAAACTGAAACTGATATTCAAAGATACCTTACAGTTATAATGGGAAAACAGTAAAAAGGAATTGTATATTAGTAGTTTATATAGTAATAGTGTTATGAATGAATTTGTAAATATATGTCAAAATGTTGATGATGCTGTAAGTAGCCATGAAATAGATCAATCTTTGACAAATTTCTGTAATCTATTGGAAGATGTATGTAATCCATTATTTAAAAGAAATGTCACAAATAACATTGGTTCTAACATAAGAAAAAAATAATGTATATTATGATAATGATTGTAAAGATCTTAAAAAAACATATTATAGATGTCTGAATATTTGGAGAAATAATAAATGTGATGAAACAAGGGCAGAAATGGTACAAGCTCGTAGTTATTATAAAAATACTATTAGGAAAAAGAAATTTATTTATGATAAGGAACAAACACACAAATTAGAAAATGCAAGGCTTCGTAATGCTAGGTTATACTGGAAAATGTTAAAAGGTACTGTTTCTGAAAATAATAAATGTAAGCTTACCACAGATGATTTTCAGAGATATTTTAAATCTGTAAATGATCCTGAGTCTGTATTTTATCAAGCTGATGAAGATGTCTTATATTTTAATGATAGATATTTAAATGAAGAATTAAATGTCATGTTCTCTGAACTTAATATTCCTTTTTTTCTTTTTTTTTCACTGGTACTGAAATTTGTAAACTGGTACTTTGTTTAATGAAATGTTTGATATTGGTTACTTCCCATCAAGTTAGGCAGAAGGTTTTATAGTACCTATTCATAAAAAGAGGGATATAGATAACCCTAATAACTATAGGAGTATTACTCTTAGAGACTTTTTACAAAAGTAATTAATGAACGTTTAAATATATGGGCTGAAAAATACAATGTGTATATAGAATCCCAGGCTGGTTTCAGAAAAATCATGAGCACTATTGATAATGTTTTATATTACATGGTATTATAACACATTTATTAGATAATAATAAAAGTTGTATGCTGTTTTTGTAGATTTCACTAAAGCTGAAATGTTATTTGGTATGAATTAATTAAATTAATTAAATTTGGAGTGAGAGGTAAAATGTTAGATATTATTAGGTCCATGTATGAGAATGTAAGATCAAGAGTAAAATACAATAATACTATTAGTGAAGAATTTGTATGTTACTTGGGAGTAAGACAAGGTAAATCCCTTTCGCCGTTTTTATTTTCTATGTATTTAAATTATATAGAACAATATTTTATGTTAAATGGTTTTGAAAGTATTGACTTAGGTATTTTAAAGATATTTTTATTATTGTATGCAGATGATATGGTGATTATGTCTGAAAAAGAGGTGGGCTTACAAAAAGGATTTAAAATTAAATTTGAAAAATATTTTTGATAGTGGAATTAGGGGTTAATGTACAAAGACAAAAGGTTTTTATTTTTTTTTAAAAGGGGGGGAAAACCCAGACCCGAATTTTTAATTTTATTTTAAAAGGAATCAGTTGAAAAAAGGGATCTTTTAATATGACCCTTTTTAAAAAACCCTTTTGGACAAACATTGAAGGGGGTTGGGATAAACTTATTTCGAATTTTCTTGTATGTCAGTTAAAAATAAAATGGATTTTTTTTTACCAAAATTTTAAATTATGGATTAAAAAATAAGGGGTTTTCTTTATAAATCATGATTAGAAAAAAAACTTTTTTAAAATATTTAAGAAATTGTTTTGGAGTTAAAAAACAAAAAAAAAAAACAAATTTTTCTTTTGGGAACTTGGAAAGGGAACTTAAAAAAAAATGAAGTTTTAAAATTTTTAAAATACTTTTTAAAAAAGTTGTTCAGTCAAGTAATACAAAATATGTCAAAGTTGTATATGATCTTATGTATAGAGATTTAGAATTCAATGTCCTGGGCTAAGTCTGTTATGATTTTGTTACAATCCTTACGTTTTAATGAAGTATGGACTACTCGGGGTGTTTATTTTTATTTTTTTTTAGCAGTAGTAAAACAAAGATTAAAAGATACATTTATACAAAATTGGTATGCAACTTTAAGAGATTCATCAAGAGCAAGAAGTTATGTATTGTTTTGTGATTTTGGTTTTAAATCATATCTGTCAATGGTTAATATTGAAAAATTTAGGAAATCTTTATCACGTTTCTGGACTTCTTCGCATAGATTAAAAGTAAACTGGTAGATGGCATAAACCTGAAGCAATTCCTTATAATGAAAGAAAATGTAATATTTGCTTAAAACTAAAAGATGAATTTCATGTATTATTATAATGTCCACAGTACAATGTTTTGAGAAAACAGCTCATAGATAAATATGTTTGGAAAAAAACCAAATACACCAAATTTATTGAATTGTTAACATCTCAAAATGAAAATATTATAAGAAAATTATCAATGTTTATCTTTAAAATGTTTGAACTAAGAATAAATGTTGAATATTCGTAAATTATAGTAGCTAGGAAGGTAAATGTAATGTTACTTAATTGATATCATTATGCAAAACATATGCTTCATTTAAACCTTGATTATTCTGTTCATATTAAACCAAACTTATGTCTCAAATATACAGGAATTGTTAAATATATGTTATATATGTTTAATGACCTTGATATAATGTTTATGTATGTATGTATGTATGTTTGTACGTATGCTGTGTACTCATGGGTATAATACCCACATGTATTTGGAATAAAATCTTGAATTTGTATGCGTGCGTTAAAGCACGTGGTTACGAGAAGTTACTTGATGCACAGCGAGTTATGGTAATGTGAACGCTTCATTGTTAAAAAAAATTAAAAAAACATTGATGGATAACATTTGTCCCATACATTGTATAATTTTGTCACTGTCCAGTACATTGATTATCTTACTAGTAGAAAAACATAACACAATAAAGCAGGAACGGCCACGTAACACGGTCCTGCTCAGAAGAATTTGTTCGTGGTCGGTTTCGCCGAATTCGCACGGACACACGTTTTTATATTAGCATACCTGTGCTAATTGACCTCGAATACGTGTCATCCTGTATATTGACATGTATGTTGGGGCCACAAATCTAAATCTCTACACATAAGATCATATACAACTTGGACTTGGATTTTACGACATCTATAGGTGACAACTTCGTAATTACGTTTTATTATGCTATAGTCGTTGAAAGGATATAAGCTAATACATTTTAATCTACTGTGCGAAAGACTTATGCCAGGACCTCAGCTATGTAGGAGCACATTTGTCTCGGAGCACATTTGTCTCACAAAGTGTGACCGATGTGTTCGTAAACATTCATATTTGCGACAAAGTGGAAATGAGACAGATGTGTTCGACACACAATAGAAAGGACACTCAAAGCACATTTGTCTCACATTTTTCCATAAAATTCTTAAAAGGTTATGATTATGCGCATCTGTATACCGGCTACCAGCCATTGTTCTTTGTTTTCTGTATTTATAATACCGTTTTGAGGTCACTTCCGGTCAGTCAAAAATGCATAGGAGTCATATATTAAATTAAAGAATAAACCTGTTCTGCATGTCACAATGAAAATTTCTAGTGTAGCATCCAGAACCTAAACAAATATGCAGCAAGTCTATTTTTATTGTTATTTATTTTCAATGCTTAAAGTTTTATAAATGCTTTATGGCACTAGAAATGTATTTTAAGCAAAACCAAGGTAGTATCTACGGTTGCATAAAGGGGACATAGCATTTTCTTATTTATCACGTGCGCACACGTTAGCTTTTACGTGGCAACGCGATACTATTACGTGCGCACGCGATAGCAATTACGTGCGCACGCGGATATGTATTCCGCATTTGGACACTGACCGGAATCCTCGCATGAAAAATTCAACGCCCCGTGTATCTGTTGAACCTACAGTGGTTAGGAGCAAGTGGTTTTTTGAATTCACTCGGCCACGGAGGCCCTTAAATGACCTATAAAAGAAAATAAGAATACCATTACACACGTATTTTGTTTTCATCAGAAATATATGAATAAAAAACGTGATTTTCCAAGAATTGCGGCTTTCAGATCCGCCATTGAAAAAGCACTAACAACATGCATGAGTTTCTGAAATAATCCGGGTAATGCCATACTTATGGAATATCGGGCCACTCAGAATCGGGCGAGACGCGACATTCCGGTGAGACACGAAGCGAGGCACGATATTGTGACACGAGATCTCGCAATGTCGAAGTATCCCGTACCACGATATTTCCGAAATGAATAAATGTTTACTTCTTCAGATAGGGCAAGTATGAATTTATTAATATTCAAATAATGATTTCTGAGGAAGTTAGATGTTTGTAACCCAAAGAAATTCGCGATAAATGTAAAATAATGCGTTATAAAAGTAGAAAAATGTAAACAAAGTAGTATTTTGACTTCAATACAAAATTCTAAATCACTTCAACTGAACAAACTGCAAAAAGAAGCAGATGAAAAAAATGGTTCAGGTAATAAGTCAATTAGTAACTTTTTGGAGCTATAAAAGTATACCAAAAATAAAAAAGTTTTTGAATAATACAAATAAAAACATTTCTAAGGCATAATGGGCCTTTAAGTGATTTTATGTAATACTACTTAGCGGTATATGACCGGGAATCAATTTCTTGTCTCGCGTCGACGAACGAAATGCGAAGCGAGATGCGAGATTTCGCTAGACGCGAGATTTCGGCGAGATGCGAAACGAGTCACGATATTGTATCATTCAATATCAACCGATTACAGTGTTCCGTTTGGACATAAGTAACATTTTTGTCTCCCTGAACAGCTATGCACAATGGTACAAAGATGAAATTGAGATGAAACAATGATTAAAACACGATGGCACGATATTGAAATCACGATGATGCGATGACACGATAGAGAAAATAATATCGCGTTTTCATCATCATGCCATCGCAGTTTCATCATATCGTACCATCGTATTTTCACCATCGTAACATCGTCTTACACCATAGTACCATCACGTTTTTTATTATTGAGCCTTCGTTGTTTCACCATCGTACAATCGTTGTTTCACCATCGTACAATCGTTGTTTCACGTTCGTACCATTGTGTTTTCACCATCGCACCATCGCGTTTTCATCAACGTACCATCGTGCCATCGCGCTGTCACCATTGTACCATCGTGAACGGGATTTAGTATGTTTTAGTGTACACCTTCAGGTTAAGCCAATCAATTTTTTGAATTAGAGATATTATAATTAATAGTTCACTTTAGGTTATCATAAAGAAAGCATAAGCAAACTTATTTATGATTACACTTGACATGAGGTAAAACGGCGAACCTCGTTTCTAAAAAAGAATTTCTGCCTTGGGGAAATATGTGACAAATAATTCATAAAAAATGACATGAGACAAATGTGCTTTCTTGTCCCTTAAAAACACATGAGACAAATGTGCTTTCTTGTCCCTTAAAAAACTTGATCGGAGCACATTCGTCACACAAATGAGTTTTTTGGGGTAGACATTTGAGGTCCCATTTGTCTCATGTGGGACAAATGCGACCGCATCTGTCTTACGTAAGACAAATGTGCTCCGAGACAAATGTGCTCCTACACAGCTATTTGGCATAAAGCATTGTCTTGAAAAACTTTACAGTAAGTATGCCCCCTAAGGTCGATATTGGTCCCGCTCAAGGGGTCACTTGATTTATAGAGACTGATTTGGTTAAATACATTTTTATTTACCGGAAAACGTTAATTAGTGTGTTGCTCTGACTCTGTTTCTTTGTATTAAGGTTCAAGTGAACTAAGCTGTTGTATGATTACGTTTGAGATGTGTGCAACACATGCTCTCTGGACTGCTTTCGTACTTTCTATACAAATATTGACATTTAATCTTTCAATGAAAGTGAAATATTATAGTCACAAATTGTGTAGTACTTGGTACAGTTATCGTTCTCGTTTCAGAAATGTAGCTTTCTTTCGTCAACAAAGCAGACTTGAAACAAAACATTCTTCAAACGATATACAGATTTTTCTTTTACATATTTTACATACTTTCTGAATACACATTAATTTCCTTTAACATATCCTTCGCATAAGTGTTGTCATAATCAAAGTAACGACTTTTTACTTATTTCATTAGAAAGGATCATAAATGCGGTATCTATAAATTTCGTGTGTACAATACCTTTTCTTCTTATTTCAGCTTTAGCGTGTTCCACGTCACTTTCGGAATATCCCATCTCCCTTAACTGTATGTCCGTTGACCTCCTGTCTAAACATTTAATAAATACTTTTCAATGTTGTTAAATGTGATCATTTTTGATTCTTTAACATGTTAGGCTAGATGTAGAAAAAAAGGAAACAAACCGAAATTTGGTTTGGAAAATATGCATTTTAAGCATAATATGAGTGATACATGTAACAGAATTGTAAGGAAGCGGCCCTCTAGAAACGGATGTTCTATTAAAATATGAACTCATAATTAAAAGTTTGAAAAGCCTGATTAGTTTAAAATAACATTTATTTGTTGTTTTTTTTTCATTTACGTAATAAAGTACATATAAAAAACATAGGAAGCTTAAAACGCCTAAAAAGTAATTAGAAAGTCTTAAACTCCTTATTAGAAATTTTAAACACGTAATTGTGAGTTTCAATTTGCTAATTTGTATTACAACTTTTGATAATGAATTGATACCGGGCTGCTTCCGTATAATTTTGTCACGTCTAAGCATGTAGTTATTAAAACGCAAAATTTAGAAAAATACGAAAAACAGCTAAAATGCTTTTATCAAATCTTATATTTGGACACTCACTTAAGCTGCCCGAAATGTTAAGCCTATCCATTGACGGCATGCTTAAAGTTGTTGCTCCTGTTGTTGTTGTTGTTGCTGCTGTTGTTGCTGTTGTTGCCGTTGATGTTTGCATGGCTGACCCACCACCAGTACCCTGTAAAGTATATCATTGTATTTATAGTGCTCATTTGTTATAAATAATTTATTATTAAAATGTAGGTGATTGAAATAACATTTTATCCAATAAGATCATCCCATTTGTTTGCAAATGTCTTTATACACTTACGTTTTCTAATCGGCACTTACAGTGTTTAATGCTTGATCTCTGTAAAGATTCAAATCATTATGTTTTGTAAATATAACAAACACTTAAATACATAATTGAGCCGCGTCACGACAAAACCAACATAGTGCGTTTGCGACCAGCATGGATCCAGACCAGCCTGCGCATCTGATCAGGATCCATGCTGTTCGCTATCAGTTTCTCTACTTGTAATATAGTTGGTAAGCGAATAGCATGGATGCTGATCAGACTGCGCGGATGCGCTGGCTGGTCTGGATACAATCATGCTGGTAGCAAACCCATTATGTTGGTTTTGTCGTGACGCGGCTCATATATAAAATCCACATAATTTTGAAAACAGCATCAGAAGTTCAACGAAATCAAGTGCCATTGTCAAATGTGTTACTTTAATTTCTGTGCAGAACAATCTGTTTTTCCCTTCTCAGATTGCGCATGTGCAGAAAATAAAACCATCCGATCAAAGAAACAACAAACAATGTAATACTCGTTACAAATTATGTCAACATACAAGTGAATGTTATATCACAGATCATTTTGATAAACATTCAGACAATGTTCATTATAAAACGGAAACAGAGACTCGCAGATTATTTTGGCACTTCAATATTCATTTTCAGTTCTCGGATTCAGCCGTTCTTTTAAAGAATCTTTATCCCTACACATATTTACCGTCGACGGCACGTTTGATCCTCTTCTATGTTGCATGTCTCTCACATATGAAGCCCCCTTCAGTTGTATGATATAGTTACACTTAGGGAAATACGTAGCATGTTCTTTACAAGGGTCGTCGCCCGTACTCCAGTCTTTAAGACCACCATCGCACGTGAAACACCGACATAAATCACCTTCTCCTATAACAAAATCACACTTTTATAAATATTCAAAATTAGAGTTTATTCTTTACCCGTAATTAACATCAAATGCCTGCTTCAGATTGACCACGTAACCACCCAATATATTTTCAGTAGTGTGTGTTCTGTAATGCATGTATTAGGTTAAGAACATTGTTGAGTAAAATACCGGAGTTTATTGGCACGAGTACGGAGCTATCGAACCTATATTTGACGAGACGCTAGCCAAGTGTAATATAGGTTTAAGAGCTGTTTAGGAGTCCAGTAGAATCCATATTGTACTTAACACTGTATAATAGCATCTTATTTACACGCATTATAACATCGGTCTAGTTATCTAACTTTTTAGGGCAGTGTGAGAATCTGGCCGTTGTTTCTTTGAGCAAGAAACGTTAAACTCAATACTTAGTACTGATACATGTAAGGTCAAGTGATTAATTTGATGTTGTGTCGATAATAGCTTCCTGCACAAATGAACTAAAATAAACACCATATATAAATTATGATTTGTATAGGAAGTTCTATCCATACGCATATATTTAACCCTTAACCCTATATTGAGAGACCCAGACAATCCTTCAAAACTGCATGGTACCAGTACCAGGCAAGACACCAAGTACCTTTAATTCTTTTTTTTTTTTTTTTTATTTCGAGACAAAAATGTAAAAAATGAAAATTAGACGACATTTTTGGCAAGCCAAATTTTCTTAGCAGGTTTAAAGAAAATTAGTTCATCTGTTTTTGTTGTGAGTTTTCACGAATAATACAGAATGTATTATTATCATAATATTAGGATAATGCATCATTTTGCGAGCTTGTAGGAATATATCATTGAATTATCAACATGAATGCATTGAGCAATACAACCGATTAAATACGAGTACCACTTTCATGCAATATCCATTCTATATATGATATATATGCTTAGATAAGAGGATTACGAATTTACGATATGCCTAGAAATTCTGAAGTTTTGTTGAAGGAACTCCACCACTGAGGATTAAAGGTCTAGTAAAAGAATAAAATTTGAATTCGTTTCATAGAACATCTGGGGCACTTAAAACGAAAGGTATGCAAATGATAATTAAGAAAAATGCTGAGACAAATTGAAAATCGTATTTTTTGCTATACTTAGACCGACTTTTCGATTCTGGGTCATTTTTCACTACAGATATAGAAAAATTATGCTGGGAAAAAAACAGAGAGAGCGAATGATCTAAAACTTTGAACACAAGTTGTTGGTTTAGACCTATACATCAGATGGAGCATTAATCTTGAAAAATATTTCCAGTCCCGTCATGTTAACCAAGAGCCCGGTTTGAACCGGGTGATGCTCCCCGAATAGGTTTTTGACACAGGAAAGTACACCTCTTGTAGTTTCAGAGTTATGTCCCTGGACAAAGTTCAAAGTGCAAAACTTCCAGAATAAGGCAAGACTTTGCACCGGACTTCTAATAAATGAGATCTATCTACATACAGTTTCTAGTTGATACCTGTTATGGTTTCTGAGCTATGTCCCTGACAAAGTTTTAAATGTAAAAATGAACAAAGGGCAATAACTCCAAAATAAGGCAAGGCAGAGTTACGTTTCTTGTGCACTGCACATTTACCTATTGAGACAAAGTTCATATTGAAATCTCTTATAATTATAGAGTTATGTCTCGGACAAGCTTTTTCCAGAAGGGGAGATAATTCAATTACAGGGCTCACCAGAGTTATGGTTCTTTTGCAATGCACTTCTACCCATGAGATCTATCGACCTACAAAGTTTCATGTTGATATCTCTGTTAATTTTAGAGTAACATCCCTCACCAAGTTTAAAGTATAAATATAATTAAAGTGCAATAACTCAAAAATTGGCAAAGCAAAGTTACGGGTTTTATGCACTGCACATTTTCTCACTGAGATCTATCCATCTAAAAAGTTTCATGTTGATATCTCTTATAATTATCGAGTTATGTCTCGGACAACATTTATTTTTCTAAAAGGGGAGATAGTTAAAAGACACGACTTAGTAGAGTTATGGTTCTTTTGAAATACACTTCTACCCAATGAGATCTATTTAACTACAAAGTTTCACGTTGATATCTCTTATGATTTTACGGTTATGTTCTGGACAAAGTTCAAATTGTAAAAATGAACAAAGGGCAATTACTCCAAAAATTAAGGGCATGGAGAGTTTAGCGGTTTCTTGTGCATGCAAATCTTTCATTGAGTCTATCCTACCTCGACGTTTATGTTGATAAGTTTAATAAATAATTATTGAATAAGTTCGGAAAGATTTTTCTAAAAGGGGAGATAATTCAAAAACGCGGCTTTTTAAATGCACTCTACCCAATGAGATCTACCTACCTACAAAGTTTCATATTTATTATCTCTTATTCTTATAATTTTAGAGTTATGTTCTGGACAAAGTTCAAAGTGTAAAAATGAACAAATGGCAATAACACAAAAATTAGGTATGGCAGAGTTACGGTTCTTGTGCACTGCACAGCTACCTATTGAATTATATCTACCTACAAAGTTTTATGTTGATATCTCCTATAATTTTAGAGTTATGTCCCGGGCAAGATTTATAATTAAAAAACTGTTCTGTACCACTTTGGAAAGTTTAAACAAATTATCTCCAAGGGTTTTCCAAGTTACTAGTATGCTTCGGACAAGACAACGGACGGACAGACGGATAGAAGGACAGACGGACGTTCTAAAGGGACAGTAATAATGTGGCTACTTTATTGTTCTCTCTATGGTTCTTTTTAGCCACACAAAAGAAAATAGCCACATAAAATCATTATGGAATGAATGACATCAAAGAGAAAGAACAGTTACCTCTGGTCGTCCCTCTAGCCATTTTATTACTGTCCTGTGAGAACGGACAGACGGGCGGACGGACGGTCAGACGGCGACTATATGCTCTCCCTTTGGGGAGCATAAAAACCTCAAGATTACCACTGGCGTTCCTGCCGATACGCCAATACGCACGGGCGTGTTTAATGAATAGAGTTTCGAGAAATTAATATTTGAAAAAAAATGAAGCGAAAATAATTGATGTAGATCTATTTATAGTTGCGTAGCTGCTTATTGATTCCATAGGTATGTTTACGATGTAACCTCTGTCAAATATATTCATACAATCAAAGGCGAGTAAAGCGCAATTTAGCACATACATGAAAGAGAAAAGAACATGTGGGGATTTTAGCGAGAAATTTTCTATTGTGTTTTTTTTTATTTCTAATACAAATCATCAATTTTGTAAGTAGGTTATGTTTGTGTTACCATAAAAATTCAATTTGTTCCACCCTATGCGGATTTTATTAAGGATTATCATTTTTAAAACTTAAAAAATAAAATGTTATAATGCTTATAAACCTCGCTTAACTTTATGTTTGTCTGGAACGTTTGTAGTACAAAGGAATACGTGTCAGCCTTCATCACATATATAGTCATACAGAACAGAGATAAAATTACAATAAAAACAAAGTAAAGCCATATGAGAGAATGTCCTTTCTTCCTTTTTTTCTTATTTTAAACTTTTTACAAAACTAAAATATGTTTCCACTCTTGCTAATTTTCCTGTTCATTTGTAAATATTTGTATGCGATACAAATACCTATATGTTATGTTTCTTTTTTCTAAGGTTTTGACTTGAATTTCTGCCAGACTAGTAAGGCATTAATTTTAACTGCGTAATAATATAACTAAAATATATTAGATGAATTTTAAAGATTAAAATTGAGGAAAAATTGTAAAAAAAAAAACAATTATTTTCTAATATTAACAAAATGCACCTAAGTGATCGCGTATCAATGAATTTAAGGTGTGGTTTTGATGCTATAGATTATTGTTACACTTAAACATTTAATCCGTTGTGTTCGTTTTATGGTCATAGGCAATATTTTCCTTGTTCCTTGATTATATCTCATGTTAAGGTTTTTTGAAATAAAAAAATATAACAAAAAAATAGTATTTTAAACATCTTGATTAGAATAGAAATACCTGGCTTTGTTTGTTTTTTTTTCTAATGATATATACGTTTTAAAGAAATATTTTCTTTGATTATATCTCATGTCATCCTCGGTGACCCAGGAATTTTGCCGTATACATGTATTAAATGTAGTGTATTCGGAATGTGAATCATGGTTTCCGACTATGATCTCTTGTCTAGATATATTGAAAAAGAAAAGAAAAAACGGAAAAAAGTTAACCATCTTGATTACAAATATTTGGTTTTCCTAATGGTAAATAACTTTTTTTGAATCATTTAATAAAAACAATCTTCACTTCAGGCTTGATGAAAATAGGACACTTTGCCCAAGGGACTATAATTGGCGTGTACTCAAAATAAGCCAAGGTACGCCCCTGATTACCTGTGTAAAATAGTCCAGCAACGGCTAATTGTTGATGTGGTATGTCTACATTACTCGGAAAACGTTCAAATGTTTCCAGCCTCGCATTCATAGTTTGATACTGAGGGGAGCGAACTCTGTATGACGTCTGGTTCCCGGCTTGGCGAGAAGAGTCAACTATAAAATTTATTGTAAAGTTCTTTAAAAAATGTTCCTATAAGAATAGTATGAATCATATCAACAACAAGAACAAAGAAAAATATCCTAATTAAAAACAGAACATGAAGTTTGTTACAAATAAAATGTCATATCCTTTTTTCATCATTGCAGCACATACTGCACATCACTAACATCACTATCACTTTTCATTGGATAAGCTTATATCTTTATAAATATCTTTCGTTTTTCCTAAAAAAATCATTTTGCTTTTATAAATTCGTTATAGATGTTTGACATGTTACATCACCGCGTATAAACGGTTGTTTGCAATATAACCCTCGACTAGCGGTTATATAAGTTAACAACCGTTTTTACTTGGGAACCTGTCAAAAATCTTTAAAAAAAAAAAAACTAATAATAAAATGATTGTTTTACCGTGTATTTCTTACCAGTTTATATAGACTATGTTTGGTCTTTATTGGGAATTGTCGTTAATCATATAATTGCATTGATACTTTACTGATAATTTCCGAAAGAGCTACACAAAGAAAAATGGTATTTAATGGACTTTAAGGTGAATTTATCAAAAAGTTTTCAAGATACCTTCCGTTGACGTTAACTGAAAAATAAAAAATAAAAATCACCATTCAATGATTGATCAAATAGGAAAACGTCGTTTGTTTCAATAACACAATTTTTGTTAAAACTTAAGATTTTGTTCAAGTATCGCCTAAGACTAAATGATGGAACCACCGACAAGATTTCTTAAAACCACAATATCGAAATAAATGAAAAATATTTCAATAACATATGGTTATCATAAATTATCGGCAATCGTATTACCATGGATATATTTGTTTGATATTTCCTTAAAACTCAAAATCTACAATTATTTATATAAATGAAGAGGTCTTTGTGTTTAGTTAGTTTACCATGTGCCTTGTCACTTTAAAGATATATTATGCTCAAATTTGATATTTGTAAAAAAGGTAATTAATGTACAGACTCTTTTGAAAAGTAAAATAAACATCTTCTGAATACACACAGAGAAAATATGTGTCGTTTTAAACACTACATATTACAGGTAATCACAGGATAATTACATTGTGTCATTTAAAAAAATGTGGCAGTTTTTATAATGAGAGACCAGATAAATTTGGCAGTAATAGGGACTACAGCTCCCAAACATTTTTTACATTCATTTATTCAAATACGACATATTTAGGAAGAATTTACTAGATTTCAATAAAAAATACTGCAATAAAAGTATTTCACCGGAAGATAAGTATAAATTAGTATATCTTTAAGTTATCTTTACCATTACACGTGTGACTCTATTCCAAGTTTATGTTGGGTTTTCAATCAAATTTTAAAGATACATATTTTTTTTTATTGCATGCTAAGCGGAAGGTAGTTCGCTTCTCAATTTTGCTTTTAGGTTTCAGACATATTAAGATAAATAAGCAGAAATGGGTAACTATGCGTTTATGTGTTCTTACATTTTGCAATAGATACGGGCACGCAGACGAATACTTCCGGTGTTCTTCCATGACGTCATCAGTCTTTATCCAGTCCTTCAAGCCTATCCCGCACACAAAACATCGCACTAAATCTTCTCGACCTGAATTCATACGAAATCGTATTAAATTAACATTCATTTTGCTTGAGTTTAAGTTACTAAGGCTGGTTGCCTGGGCGAGTGGTTAGGGATGTTTGCTTGAAACACACGTCCTCCACGGCCTTTGGTCCGAATGCTACTGCATGTTTACAGCATAAAGACGATGTGAAGTTTGTTCCTGGGAGGCTTCTTCGGAATATCGAATGTTCTACTCTTTTGCTTCATTGTTACATGGTTACAACTGCTGAAACGTTAAACCATATCCTTTGCAACATTGTATTCCTATACATTCATATACTTTCGCTCACATTCTTAAACCTTTTCTGACAATCTTATACCTCCGATCACATTCTTTTACTTTCGCTATTATACTTTTGCTCACATTCTCATATAAATTTTCGCTCACATTTGTATGCATCTTCTGAAATAATTGTACTTTCACCAACATTGCTTGTAATTTCAGTGACATTCTTGTATTTTCAAACACTTTAAATGACATTCCAATACTGTAACTGATATTCTTATATACTTTCACTTACATTCTTCTGCTTTCAAGACATTTTTTTTCTTTAGCTCACATTATTGTACTTTTACTCACATTCGTATACTTTTAATTAAATTTAAGGGGGCAGGGGACATATCCGAATGATGGCCCTGGGTCAATCTTTTTTATAACTTAGAAATGGTGTTTGGAAGGTACTGGAAACTTTGGATATTTCTCTGTCATTGTAATTCTTTCTTGTTTGTATATAGAAAATGAGCAGTATTTTGGGGTTTTAACCCGAGACTAAGCATGTTGGTAGCTTTGTATATATTTGTGACTCTCCGAATGGAGATGAAAAAGTGAAAACTCAAGCTTTGACAGATGACACAAAAACAAGTAAGAAATTTTGGATAAGTTTTGTGAAAAAATCTAAACGTATGACAGACACTTTATTGGTTATTTTTGAAAATGCCATTGATTGCACTGTGTGTAAGTGATATTTTTAAAGGAATCGGGCGGATTCTGGAGTATGCTGCACCTTCATGAAGATTGCCTATATTGGTATATTTTAGATTTTTGCTGGGTTGGGTAATTATATTAATTGCTGTCAGTCATTATTTTTAGGAGCAATGCATGCAAACCATTATGTTATTCAATGTTTGCCATATATCCTTGAAAAATGCCGTGCAACTGGTTATCTGCCTGTGAAACAGATTTTGAAATATTTGGAATTGTGTTTCTGGCCACGCTGAAATACAGAATTGTTCATTTTTAGGTCCCCTGCCCCCTTCTGGTACTTTCGTCTAATACAGCTTAATTTTGCTTACATTCCTATACTATTGCAAGCTCGACTTGAGGTCCTATCCGTCATGCTTAGGTAAAGGACCTCGAACATACCGACCGGAAAAAGGTAAAGATGTTAACGGGCGCTACAAAAAATAAAATATGTCAACAAGTTAAAAGGGGTTGTGGGGAACTGTTTGACCTATTTTGTTTTAAAAGAATCCACTAATTTAAAACAATGTTCGATCTTTTTTCTGACCGCAAATTGTACTTTCGTTGAGTTTCTTATACTTAACTTAAATTCCTATACTTCTGCTCACATAATTGAGCTGTTGTTTAATATATATTGTTTTACGTTTTTTAAAGATAGATTTGCCTGAAATGCCTAAGAACGTATGTAAACATTGACTTATCAAATATTGTAAAAATAGGATATATAAGTTAGACTGTAAAGGTTCCTTTTTTAGTACAGCATCATTTCTGTTTAAAAAGGAATTCATGTGTAAGACTCTATTGAAAATTAAAAAACATCCCCTGTAAAGAACATTCCTGATTAGCGAAGTGTATTTATATCTGGCTTTTCATTAACAGCCAATTTGATGAACGAAAATGTAATTCAGTCTGCTTGCCAACGTGTATATATTGTACATATTTCGGCGAACAGTTTCAAACGGAAGGGGCCACTCAGACTGGTGAGAGCTATGTGGCGATGGTGACGATGCAGCAATAGCCTCACTTGAAGAATATGACGTCGTAAAAGTGTTGATCTACTACTACGCTTGTCGGACTGAAAGAATATGACACCGATGGAACGCTCGATTCTTGTGCAGTAAAACCTGTACCTGGCACTGGGAGTCACTTCCATACTAAGACAGTCTACATCCGTATCGGTTACTTGAGTTGGATATTTATCTGTCTCGGGTGTAATGGGTTTTCGTAGCTTTCGTTTCCTCGGCGCTGACCATACTGTTAAGGGCTCCTGGATGGATTTTTCCCGCTTTGAGCTCTTCTTTCTACGTTGGTCACATGACTTTGTATCTAAAATTTTATAACACATAATTATAATGGGCATGATTTGATGAAGGCTCGTTCTGAGAGAGAGAAATGTGGCCATGTAGGAAAGGATGTGTGTCTATCGCTCATACAGGAATCGTGTGTTCGAGACACTTAAGTTCACGTCATAATTGTGACATCTGTACTTGTAGTTTTTCAGAGTGGTAAGTTTTCATCACAGAATCCCAATGCTACATTAAATTAAATGAATATCCTTTATCACCTTTAAGAATGTAGCATACTAATTAACTTACTAACATATCTGCTTTAAATATTATCTTAAAGTATTATAATAATAAAGGAATTGAAATGTCTGTAAAATCAGGATTTAAGATACACCATCTTATGTGTCATATCTAAATATAGAAGAAACGTGCAAGAAATTGTTCTAGAACAAAATATTATTATACTTATTATTATTCATTACATAAATGTCCATTCTAAATCAACATTACGTGTCCCAGAAATATCTTATATGAATATTCAAGTGATATATGACAATTGTTTTTTTATTGATATTTCAAATAATAATGAAAATTGTTCCTGTGGTAGACCTGTCCACAATACGGTCTTACCATTACAACCTTTGACGCGGTTAAGGTCGGAAAGGTGGAACTTGTCAACCTTAATTTGGTAGTAAAATGCACATTATCACATTACTACGTGTATGGTATTATGCGAGCCGGTATTACGTTAGGATTTTACTGAGAAACAACCTAAAACTTCGAATCCATCCAAACATTTAATCGAAGCTTGGCTTCCAGTTTTCTACAAAATTTATTCTGTCAGGGCTAAAATCCAAAATTATTTAGCCAATCAAATTTAATTTTACATAGCGTCAAAAAAAACCTTCATTTTTCACGCCATTTTTAAAAAGCAGCAAGTTTTGCTTTGGAGCCAATGATATAATGTTTTGTTTTCATGAATTTTTTTTCATAAATCATATTTACACTGACTTTTTGATTTAGCGATTTTCACCTTAATGTTTCTCTGTAGTAAGTTTTCGCTTGGGTTAATTAACATAAAGTGTACATCTGGCTCTGTGCATTTTTTTCTTTTTCTTCTTTTCCGGTCATTTTATCCTTTCAGGTATTTAGCGTATGTAGTTACTGGTGGGAAAAAAATCCCGGGATCCGGGACCCGGGATCGTATTAGGTATAGACGAAAAACTAATAAACTATATTTGTGTTGATTATTGTCGTAATGAAAGGCCATTAAACGTTAAGTTTTTAATTTTTTTATTGTATGTAATGAACGTTAAATGAATTTAACTTAGGATATAGATATATTTAGAGCTATTTATTATCAAACTTAATATGCGGAAATCACAATACTTATAATTATATATGCCTAATTAATTGGAAAAATCAAATACTATATTCTTGAATTGGTCAAATCCCGGGATCCCTATATGTTTTAATCGATCCCAGCTTTTCTGAAAACTATATTCTTGAACTGGCAATTCCCTGGATCTCTGTA